GATCAGGTTTGTCAAACATACTTGTAAATCTGCAAGCTACTTGGGAACGGTTGGAGCAGACATATTGTCGTAGTAAGGAGGTGATAGCCAAGTCGGTGATCACTAGCACAGACCGGCACTGCGCTGCGGTTTCATCGACTGCCTGATTAGTAAGTCGGAATAACATTTTCACTAGTACTCTTGTTTACATACCTTAAGACCACTTCAACAATCAAGAAAATGAGCACGGGCCACAGAAAAATTGATGGGGCAAGTCGTAGCAGACCGTCGTCGTCGTGTGTTCACTTTAGCATGTACCGACCAGGAATTCGGGGTATGCTATCGTAATATTAACGCACGTAACTCAGATATCTTCACGATGCACCAGCCAATGGCAGCCATATGATGTAACAACGTTAACATACACTAGAGTAAATAGTAGTAGTATGGAAATGTATAAGTGGTGATAGAATGAAATCCAGTTTCACAATTTGACTAGTGACTTCTCTGCTTACCCTGTCTCGCGAGCAGTTCCCATGCACAAGATTCTACTTCTACCCGTCGCACCCGGTCATGTTTCGGGGGCAAGTGATACTACGTTAGAAAGTAACTCCGAGTTACTTGCACTGCGCTATACCAGGCTGTACCCCAGCTGGCTTGACATGCGTGATGGTAACCAAACAACAAGAGGAATACAATCCTTTACAGGCATTATAATTCTATACTTACAAAACGAATGCATGCCATCAATTTAATGCGTAAGCCCAATGCTACTAAACCTTCCAAAGAGAGTCTCTCCCACTCCGAGCCCCACCACCAGGGAGAATATGAAACTCAGCTGGTACGTCCTGTCCATATCCAACACATCAACACATCAGCGAACGAGGAGAGCGACGCAACGTACATGACTGTTAGCATGAATAGGTAACTCAATAGCGCCTGCGCTGCGAACATGACTCCACGAACAATATCATGCGCGGGAATGAAAGGGGGCGTGAAGCGCTTTATGAATCCCACAGAAGATGACTTAGTCGGAAGGGTATTGAGTTCATCGGAGGCAATGATGGTTGCCCTGTTCATTCATGAAAGAGGTTCCATGCAAAAGAAGGAAAAGGGCGTACTGCTGGCGCCAGTGATATTCCATCAGTCCTCGACAAGCTGCTATCCAGCGCTCGATCAATGCCAACATAAACAGTGCGATGCATGTGCCAATCATGGCTCCCGAACTCTTAGGAACCCAGCCAAGGAACCACACTGTATTCCGGACTGTTAGTAGGGCTTATTTTATGTACCTGGAAAATATAACTCACGGTTGTCTCCTGGCGTAAAGTGCAGGTAAGGAAGCATATTCCCTACGGCAAGATCCATAGGACCGTCCGTGGACATATCCATGCCATTGTCGGCAAGGCCAACTTGGCTCCAGCACAAGAGGCAGAGCACCAAATATTGCCAGTTCATCTCGCAGCAGCTCGCAGGTGGAGGCAGTAAGGGAAAAGACGGTGTTTCGGACAACCAGACCAGCCGTGGGAACTACCTTCCCCTAGCAGAACGACGCTTGGACTTGGGGACTCCCAGGGCAAAATGTCGATAGATAGAAGGAATGATAGTGGAATAGCAATGGTCCAACCGCCATGCAATTGGGTGAAGGGAAACAGGGTGGTTAAGACGTAGACAAATTGGGCTTCATGAGAACTACGCTCTCGCTCATATTCGTCCACGTCTTGACGATCTTGATTCCGCACCATCTGAATCTGCGAAGGGCACCATACGAATACGATTGTGTTGCGATATGAGGACGTCGAGTGTGTTTGCGGGATTGACTCGATCGATAGCGCTTCAGGAGGCGTTGTAGACGAAGTTGTTGTTGTCAAGAAAAACCAAAATATAATCATCATGGGCCATTTGCTCCGGAGTGGTAGAGATCGTCTATCTTGCCGTCGACAGAACCTGCACGTAGACTCGGTGACCCAGGAGTAGTTTCAAGATACAAAGGGTCGAAGAAGGAGATCATGGTTGTGGGAGCCGGAAAAGTACTACTTGGTTACAACTGTATTACTGAGGCATTTTCGCGGGGTGTGGGAATTTGGTGCCTTCAGTTCTTGGACCTACTAAGAAGCGTTTCGAACGAGGGAAATTCACCGTCACAGCACAGGCTCGAAGTGACGTACTTTCAGGAATCAGAATGTCACCCTCCTCCTGCCTTTTATCAGAACCCAAACGTGACCCGTTTTCACACCAATTGACCTGACTGCATCGATAGCGAAGCCTGTGGTTTTATTCCCACATTTCAACCCGCCTCTTGTTGGCATGCGATGGCACGTTTGTATGTGTTGGGCTGGCACAGATCTGGGTTTTACCCTGCATGGTTCGAGTATGCCAGCATGCGCTGTGACAAGTCACGTATATCTTCTGATTCCCTTTATCTCTCACACCATTTCCAGTGAGTCATTCCCTGGCAGAGAGCAGTTATAAGACAACCCAGCCTTCCACTCCAGGTCGCACACGAAAGCTCATAGCGGAGTACCAGAGCAACATTGGGTGGGCACTTCACATTGGTGCTTTTATCGTGTAGTACTTGACGTGTGCGCTAATACCAAATGCCATGACGTGCAAGTCAGCATCGTGCACTGCTAACTTGACCATACCAGTCTACGGTCATGTGGGTTTCGCCTTCAGAACTGAGCAGTCTTGTCATTGAAAAAGGTGCCCTGCGCGTGTGTTATGACGATCTAATACATCGAGGGAGATTGTTGGTTCATTAACTCGGAAGGAGGGGGATTTACTCAGACTCATTTTTCGGTAGGGTAAGAATCACCATCCTCTCCTTGTCGAGTACAATATCCCAAACATGGGCATCGAAACCTTGCTCATGGACCACCTCCACAAAAGGGAGGTAAGTTGAAATCTGCACGTCTGACTCGAGAGTTGTAATCGTAGGTTCCCGAATGACCTTGCCGACGCCACGCGCCACGGCGGAGGGATTGAAGTCGGTCATAAAGTTTCGCCGAAAAAGTTCGTCAGAATTGATGTATTGTAGAAGAGTCGTAGAAGAGCCTAAGTGTTCAGCTTCTACAGTACGAAGTGGAACCAAGCTGGACCGACGTAAGGTAATAAAAAAAGAATGACAAGTATAGCAGAACATGTAGGAAATACAATCCAATGATGGAGGGTAGAAGAGCTATAGATAACGAGATGAGACGGTAGAAAATGATAATGGTACACGAAGATGTTTCTTCCCTATAGTTGATTATTTTCGATAGAAATACAACCGATCCAGAGCCAGAACCGCGTCCAGCATCCAGCCCCGCGTATGGTGATATCAACGTGCGAGGTTCCAGTCGCCGCCGCGGTAGTGGAGACTGTAGGAATTGCAGCTGATGTCGTGGCTTGCTGTGATGACGATGGTGGGGGTGTGCTCTGGGTTGCTCCGCCAGTAGGTTGCTGCATGACATGGATCTTGGGAGGTCGAGAGGAGCTGGCTGCTTTCTTCCCTCTTGCATGATAGTCCCTCTGCGTGAAAACGTGTCAGTGATAAGAAGAATAGAGGTGGAAAAAAACGTACGCGCTTGCCAGCGGTGCACGGGACGTCAACTACCGGTAGCTCTCGCAACTGGATGTTTGATCCATCTTGTCTGCGTTGTCTCCCGGACACGAGGTTTTTAGCCCAGCTACGAGGGTGGGATCTGGACGGGGTGTCCTGTTCGGTTGCTCCGCGTGAATTGGAGCGCCAGCGCATGAAGGAAGGTAATCGACCGAGGAGAGTCCGTTGATTTGGTGGGGTGGTGGCATTTCGTCCTCGGGAGGTAGAGAACTAATAAGATAATGGTCAAAGGGGACATGAGATTACAGATGGAAACCACGTACATCGTCGAAAAACTCTGGGGGTAGTCGACGAGCGCCTCTGATTTGCGGGGCTCGGCGTCGTGGATCAGCCTAGTATGTAGATATTCAAGGTCATGCAAAAGGTCAAGAGACACATAACATACATTAACGTTAAATGGCTTCTTGCCTGGCTTCTGTGATGAATGAAGATGAGTGAGAAAGGCTGTTGAAGAGACCTGATGCAACATACCACCTGAAAGGATCACCCGTTGTCAGTGTGATTGAGGATGAAATGCACACAAGCTTACATTGTCTGATAGAAGGTGACCCAGGCCAGCTTCCTTGACAATAGCAGAGACATCCCATTTGTATATGTTGTTGTCATTGCAGCCAGTGAGGAGCAACCTTCCATCCACAGAAAAGGCTGCACACCTCACCATGTGTTCATGGTAGAAGGGTTGTCCGATGGGCTGATTGGTTTCTAAGTTCCATAGTCGCGCTGTCTTGTCAAATGATACGCTTGCGAGGATGCGTTCATTCGGAGACAGTGAAATAGCAGTGACAAAATGATTGTGTCCCTCCAGAACAGCAGTTTCGGTCCAGGTGGCGGTGTCAATTTTCCTGATTTGATAGCGTGGTGTGCCGGCGATATTGCGGTATGACCCGGCGATAAGTGTCTTTCCGTCCGAGATCCATGCCAGGCACCAAGTTCTGAAGTCGAATGTTTTGAGCAATTGCCCTGTGTTGGCATTCCAGACTTTCAGCTGCGTGCCTGTCGCAATCATCGTGCCATCGGGTGAGTAGCAAACTGCCTCCACCCAGTCATCTTTCACTGCTTCGATTGGTCCCAGGATTATCTTTCCGCTCTCGACGTCCCATACTCTGAATGTCCCACCGAGGCACCCGCTCACCACTCGTCCTCCATCTGGACTCCAGCACACAGACCATACTTCATTTGTGTGTCCCGTCAATTTTTTGATGACCTTGCCTGTGTCAACTCCCCACAATCTCACTGTACCATCCTCACTCCAACTTGCTACTGTCTTGCCGTCCGGCGAAAGTGCTATGGAATTCACAAATCCACTTCCTTCGTCCATCCAGGCCTTCCCGACCTGCATACCGCTCTCCAAGTCCCAGACTCGAAGTGTGCCGTCGAATGAACAGGTGATGATCCGCCGGTTATCGGGCAGCCGTAGGACGCCAGAGATGCGACTGGTGTGTCCTCGCATCTTTTGGGGAGGCTTTGTCGCTGATTTCTCTTGCTTTGCAGGGACTCGTGAAGACATGATATTGGTTCGGCAACTTCACCTAATAGGAGCGGGACAATGTCAGCTCTTGCTCACCAAACGAACGCCATCACTCACTCAGAGGTACTTGGTTTCACACAGAACACACCCGCCCAGGACGAATGAAAGCTCAAAAGGAATGGAAATATTGTTTGATGCTCGGTAGAGCTAGATGGAGGTTGCTGTTCAAGTCCTGTACATGTGCGTCTTCCTTGCTTTATCCTCATGCAGCTTGCTGTGCAGATCAAGCGCCCGAGTCACGTTGTCTGACAACCAGTTTCTTCATCGACATCGACATCTCAGCATCACATCTGGTATCGAGCGATCCCGCATTTCTATCATTCTTCACCCACCCTTATCTCCATCGCCGGCAAGAAATATCTCTGAGACTCGGAGACGTCTATCCGACTCCATCGCGTTGTCTTCTATAGCACGTGTCTCGCAAATCATCTCAGCAAGCAGTTCCCGTATCTCTGCAAACATCTCCCTGTTGACAACCATTTACCAGTATCGATACCTCAATGACTCGATCATCAAGCAGGAATGCACCAGTACTACTTGGATTCTTGAACATCTTTTCCTCGCGTGAATCAGGTATGTGCTCCGCAGCATTAGCTCAGGCTATATCCCACCATAGCATAAAGAAGACAGCGTCAACTTTTGACTGCCTACTGAACTTAACCTGTCAAGCGTCATCCTTATCCGAGGGTCTATGCGCTACTGAAGAAGACTCTTCCCCTTCCACGCTTCTCCGCGCGGAGCGGCAGTGCCTTCTCCATGTGCTCAGATTTTCTCCTTTCCGAATCTGTGCTACAGCTTAGATCATCACCAATTTACCGCTCTCGCTTCTCTCACATATCGGATGTGATTGTCTGATGTTGAGGCTAGGGGCTGTCGTTGCGATTGTGGTAACTATACTTACTAGACCAGCCCTGCAGCCTCAATGTGCTGACTTCGAATGGTGATGTTGGCCCCTTTCAACAGTGCAATCAAGCTACCATGCGCTGACTCGCGTAAATTGCAGCTGGTCAAGTTCTGAACACAGCCACGTGTAGTCTTCCTAGTCGGTACCATCGTTTGTCATGAACTATATCTACTTGTCCATCCGCAAATTCGCGTCTCGTCGCAAATGCTATGGCTGACCCCGCTTGAGCTGCCAGGACTGAGCACTTAAAACGCTTACAACATTAACCCTTGCAGCTTTCTCCTCAAGACATTCTCGCATTGGCATTGGCACCTCTACAAGACGGCCGCTTTGAGGCTCACCGTACCTGTCACACTCGACATGTCTGCCACGTTGGGCTACTTGCAGAAATTCGTATACTACTAGTACTGAAACACCTGAGCTCGTGCAGCAGGTGTGGGAACACCATGCTATTGATATGAATGAGAAGAACAACAAGGACACCTTCCATTTTGCGGCCTAGGTGCGTTGCTCATCCCGAGCTTCCAGTAAGTAGCCAACCTAAATTCTGTGCAGGGTGAATCAGCTGTCAGCGTCCCAAGGACGCACAGTGGTTGATTCTTACCTTGCTTTTGTATGTATTTTCCCACTCAGATGTGATTCGACACGGCTTGCGCAGCCAGAAAAACCTCGAACCTATCACACGGCTCCCGTAGTTGCACCGTGACCACGCACAGCAAGCCGGGCTTGACTGGCAGCGCGACACTAAGGCGCTCAACACCAACCCGTTCAATGTCGAGGTGCAATATCGCATCACGAAGGCCATCCGCCAGCAAGCAATCATGGAGAACTTGGAACACGTGCTCGACTACCGGCAGGTGTTTGGGCGAGTGACTGCGTTTCAGTGAGTAGTCTAATATTCCAGTGCAGAGGTGGGTTCTTATAGACGTAAACTTGATAATGTCTCGTGGTATCAACATTGAACCTGGGGATCATCCAAATTACTGCAGGACGGGCGCGGATCAACGATGTGGTCGAAAAGCCTCTGCACACAACGAGTCTGTGCCAGGTGGAAATGCCACCAAGAGAGCACTATGGAGGTGAGCATTATTTCCACCCTCTCCGTTACACCTCAGCTACCTTATTGTAAGGATTTCCATACCTGTATCGTCGAAGTCTTATGCAGACACATGCTGTTCTATTTGTGAGGGAGTGCACACCTCTCTCGCCGGAGCACTTTGCTATGCAGCCACATCTCTGTTCTATTGTTCATGTTCCACCCACACATTGTCTTCGCTTGGTCGTACAAACACCATCAAGCAGGAATGCGCTACTCGGATCCTCAAGTATCTGTTCCTCTCGCGAATCAGGTACGTGTGCCGCATCTTGAACTCAGGACATGTCTCACCATAGCATAGGGGAAACAGCTTTGGCTCTCGACTGCTTACTTGACTTGAGGAGCTTGTCAAGTACCGTCCATGTCCGAGCAGCTCACATGCTGCTGAAGAAGATTCCGATGTTCGTTTTCCCTATGCTACCTTCTTCATGCGCAAAGAGTCTCTCCTGTCATAATCTGCGCCACCGCAGGTAACGGTCCCCATTCAGCTTCTCTTTCAGAAGCAAACCTTGGAGTTGTGGAACGCGCTAAAGACTGATGCCAACGAAATTTGCTTCTACGTTCTCGACAATAGGTAATTAAGAGGCCTCCAGTTCTGACGGATGGTATGTCTAGATGAGCTTCTCGCCTTCAATCTCCCAATAGTCCCAGATATTTGAAATGTCATCGCCATTGTCGCCAATTGTTGGTTTTGGCGCAGTATTTTAGCGGCTTTCATGAAACGAACATAGCTACCCTCCTTGCTGCAACCGAGCCACTTATGTTCCTCAAGACATGGGTAAGGTCACATTCTCAGCAGCACAGGGCATGTGGACGCCTATGAGCAAATTCTCAAGACAGGGGGCATCATAAGCCATGTTCCCGCTCAGTGCTTTCACTTGCTGGTATGTCCCTTTCGCTTTCGCCTCTGCGTACTCTCGGTGCAACTAACCTCAACTGTCCAACGCTTCCACTGCGCAATTTTGCTCATCAAGAGGAATATTGTGCTCGTCTGTAGGACATTGCAATTTTTTTTATCGGAGTGCCATTGTCTTCGACTGAAGATCTTCCGGAGATGCCTGTTCCGCTCACGTAGAGTAGTGGACGATGTCATCATTCGAGACGAGTATTGCCAACATTATTAGACGGTTCTTACACTCGACGATCGTGACCTTGTCTACGCTTATGCTTCTTCATAACGGCTATCGGCAGTATTTTCAATCAACCATGATGGTACTGGCTGAATTCTGCGCTCATCAGTGTGTGCATTTGATTGTTTATTTAATCGGCGAAACCAGATTCCAGCCCGTCAGATCTTATAATGACAATACGAGACGAGACTGTTTCATCGAGTTTCAAGAGAGATACGAATCGCGCTGCTCGCTGTGAGTTTCTACAGCAAGCAAATTTGTGTTGTGTGCCCATCTCTTCACACTGTTGCATTTTGCCTATTCCGCCATCACTCGTTAACGTTTTTCATCATCCGCATTTCCTCTCCTTTAATTCCCGAGCATTTTTTGACCTTTAACCGCCACCATCTGCTTTTTTCCCACGGTTCAACAGAACATGGGCGACGAGCCAGGAGGCAGTATAAGCATAGCTAGAAACCTTGACAAACGTATATCAGCAAGAACATATTCACAAGCAGCATCCCTTAGTAACACCAGACAACATATGAAGGAGTTCCAGCAACGTCGGGCGTGGGATGAATCAGAGCCCAACGATCCCCTCCCACCCCCAGAATTCCCATACAGACCAACCAATGCCAGCTACATGCCAATCACACCCACACGTAGAGGGTTAGGATACAAACGTAGACTGGAAACAACCACTTCTCCATCGGCCTCACCAAACACCGCGAGACAGACCAAACGCCGTCCTACAGAACACGTGGCTATGGTAAACAATGTAGCCCAACGCGAATACGACTCGGAAATGGAGACGGACATCTACAGTGAAACCCGTTCGGAGCAAGGATGGATCACTGACTTAAACCATCATCTTATCAAAGCCGCAGAGGCATTAGACAACATATCAATCCACGCTAAGTTCCCAGATAACATACTTACCGCTGCTCAAAGAATTACACAGGCCATCCTACCCCCTAAACCGGTTGAAACACCAAGAAACAATCCTGATGACATAATTCCGATCCTCAACCAACTCGTCAAAGATGTCCAGGAACTACGACAAGGCAATAAACCGGAAACCAGTCAAAACCCCCGTACTCAAATCGCAAATGGCCCCACCATAACTCCTACTCCGAAGACCAAGACAAACTCAACTAAGATAACAGAACAAGAGAACCGACGCCGAAACAACCCGTTAACCCGACACCACCCCTCTAGACTCATTCTCCACATCGAAACTCCTCCGGACCCTACACAACGCCAAAAAGACCGAGGATTAGTAGAAGCGATCAATGAAAGACTCAAGGAGGTCACGAAAGTTACGGTCAACGGCATAAAATGGAACACCAAAGGTAACTGTATCATTATTACACATCCGGATTACACAGCAGATGACTTGCTTCCATTCAAAGACGCCTTCGCAGACTTAATTGTCGGAAACTCCAACTACGCAGCCACACCAGACAAGGAATGGTTCCGTGTTCTTCTCAACAGTGTAGACACAGGGAAGTCCGATGCCGAAGACATGATGGAATTCGAACCACGATCCGGAGCAGAAGTAATCTATGAGATGAAAACTAACAACCCCAGTGTACGCAACATCAACTTCACGGCAGAACCCTCGTGGATGGCGAAGCCGGAGACCCTTGAACACAAATACCACTCAACCATGCTGTTAACGGTCTCATCACAGGAAGAAATCGACTACCTTCTCAAACACGTCGGTGGAGTCTTCTTATATGGACGGTACGCCTCTTTCTCGCGCTTCCAAGATTTGAAACCTGTTCGTCAGTGCAACCGATGCTGGTCCTTCGACCATCATACGTCCAAATGTATTAACCCCCCCAAGTGTCGAGTATGTGCAGGCGACCACACTGAATCATTCCATACCTGCGATTTGTGCCCTAACACGGCCAAAGCACAAAAAGGATGTGATCACTCACCGATTAAATGCGCAAACTGTGGAGAAGCGCACACGGCAGACTCAACCAAATGCCCCATTCATATACTAACCAAAGGATCTGCAAGAGACCCACGACCAAGTATCCAAGGGGGACGACGCGCACGTCGACCTCAAACTGCTAACAATCCAATAGCACCTCCAGAGACCCGGACTCCAACCCCACCATCAACATCCCAGAACCATATCGTAACGCCACAACCAATGAACGACAACAATATGGATGGATGGCAATGATAGTCCATACTAAACCCATAAAAATGATTCAACTCAACACTAACCGTTCAAATATAGTCTGCCACGCATTACTCAACAACACCGTCCGTGATTATGACATCCTGCTCATAACGGAACCATGGTATGGTGACATCGGAAATAACACAAAGGGCCCAGCATCGTTAACCGGATGGCAACCAATCCTACCATTACCGTCTGTTCCCCCGAATGTCATTCCTCGAGTCATGGCATACATCAAAAACAGACCTGACTTCATGGTTACCCTTCGTTCTGATCTCGCAATGGATGCTGACATACAAATTTTACAGATCAACCAAGGAACACATCCGCCTACAATACTTGTAAATATGTACAACCAGAAAGCAGGCGAGGATCCATTGAACTGGTCAGCAGACCGTCTTTTCAACATCGAACTACCAAACGGAATACCGGTCATCATCTCGGGAGATATGAACCTACACCACCCAATGTGGTCAAACACAGCTGAGAACCCCAATCCTCGTGCAGAAGCTTTCGTTGACTGGCTAACTGACCAGGGATTCATCATGCTAAACGAACGTGGGGCAACAACATACTTCGCACACGACGGTGAATCCTCGTCGGTCTTGGACCTAACATTCATCAACGACAGAGCATACGAACTCGACACGATCAAGGACTGGTCAATCGACTACGGTAAAGCCTACGGATCAGACCACGCAGCGCTCACATGGACACTAGACCATGAACGTGTCCCCATCGAGAATATCACGGCTCAACGATTCAATTGGAAAGATATCGATGAAGACACGATCAAAGCATGGAAAGGAGCGTTCATGAGAGAACTGACGGATAGAGAAGACGCATGGATACCGCTACGCGTTTCAACTCTTCCTAATATTGATGATATTGAAAGAGCTACCACAGCACTACAAGATGCACTGGTGCAAGCAACAGAAAGCTCGGTCCCCATCCGCAAATCTAGTGCACATGCGAAACCATGGTGGACTCCCGACCTCACGCAATCACTCAACCGCATTGCAGAAACTCGTGAAAGGGCTAGACAACATCTCATCGATACAGGTTTTGCTGACCACGACCTTATCCAACAGATCCGCCAACTACGCAATCAGTTCAAACGGAAGACACGCCTTGCTAAACGACAGTGGGCAAACGAGACTCTGGGAAAAGCCACTCCCGATGACGTCTGGAATTTCACTCGATGGCCCAAAGGGATAAGAAACTACCCCACGCCACCACTCAGACGAAACAACGGTCAAAACATGGCAATAACACATGAGGAAAAGTGTGCTACACTACGAGGTGAACTGTTCCAACCGCCCCCGAATCTAGACTTAGCTGCACCAGATTTAGAACAGGACCTCCCGGATGACATCCCATGGGAACCCATAACATATGCCGAAGTGAAGAATGGTATATACCGACCAAATCGCAAAAAGCTCCTGGACCCAGCCAAATCAACTACATGGCTCTCCGATGGGCCTGGGAGGTTGCATCGGAATATATCTACTTACTAATCTCACGCTGCGCAAATGTAGGCTACCATCCCATCGCCTGGCGACGCACAATCGCAGTAGCCCTGCGCAAGCCCCGAAAACCAGACTATTCGAACCCGAGAGCCTATAGACTAATCCAGCTAGAGGAATGTCTTGGAAAAGTCCTCGAAAGCGTACAGGCAAGTAGATTAGCATATCTCACAGCAAAATATCTGCTGGTACCTTCTTCACAGTTCGGAGGTCGCCCAGGAAGCTCCACAGTCGACGCAGCCCTATCATTCGTTCATGATATCGAAGCAGCCCGTAATCACGGACTTGTCACGTCGTGCATCACATTCGACATCAAAGGATACTTCGACTTCGTCAATCATACACGGCTACTCCGAATACTTCGGGACAAGCACCTACCGCTCCCTATGGTAAAGTGGGTGAAATCCTTCCTCAGCGAACGACAAGCAGCAATCTGCCTGGACGGAGTACTGTCACCATCGGAACCAGTCGAAAACGGTATACCTCAAGGATCCCCAATATCACCGGCCCTTTCGATTATCTGCACAAGCCCACTAAACGAAGCCTACAATGCGAAAACTCGAGCTCGTGAATTACGCCCGGACAAAGCCACACCGACCACATTAGCATGCTACATCGATGATGGAAACTTATATGTCTCCTCTCCATCCTTGGAGAACAATGTCGCAATACTCCGGGAGGAGTTCATTTTTGTGAACAATTGGCTTCGCGAAGCTGGACTGATGGCGGAAATTGACAAATCTGAGCTCATCCATTTCACATGGCGTCGTGCACCGGATCGACCACCTATCCTGCTGCCTAGTGACGAAGGACAGGTGACAATTAACCCCCGTGACTGTATCAAATGGCTTGGTATATATTTCGACTCTAAACTCTCTTTTCGCAGGAATGTATGTGAACTGGCAGGCAAAGCGGAAAATATCGCCCAAGGACTACAAATGCTTGCAAATACGGTAAGAGGTCTCTCGCAATCACTATTGAGAACTGTATACTCGGCTTGTGTCCGCAGTGTAATGACATACGCAAGCCCCGTTTGGTGGACGGGCGTGAAAACCCATGCAAACATGCTTACCCGCGTCCAAAACAAATCCCTTAGACATATCTGTGCCGCTTTCCGAACCACCCCAATAAAGGCCCTAGAAATAGAGACATCAATCCCCCCCATCAACCTCTTCCTCGAACACGCAAACGATAACGCCGCCACTCGACTACTCAAACTCCCCTCGTTCAACCCAATCCTACAGAGACTTGATCAACCCTGGCGACAATTTAACCTCGCTGACCCCCCACCCGCTCTTCCCACCGACAAATACCGTCCTCGCAGCCGCAAACCACCAAAATCGACCAGACTCACCCGTCTGTCAAAACGAGCATCCCCGAACGCGGAACGCATCAACATATTTGCGCTGCCACCTTGGGCAAACACGAAGGAAACGTACCGCGGCCGCCTAACGATCTCGGACAAGCAAAGAGGAGGCAAGAAAGAAGCCGCCAAAGCGCACATACAAACCGCTCGTAATCTACGAACGGAGGACACGCACCTTCTCGTTTACTCAGACGGATCGAAACAATCAGTCAGAGAGGAGGAAAGAGCTGGAGCAGGATGGGCCGGCTATCACAGAGGAAGAGAAGTCTTCTGGGGTCAGGAAGGAATGGGTCCCAAAGCAGAGGTGTATGATGCAGAGATGGTAGCGCTCCTTCGAGCAATATCGCGAGCTATCAGCTTCGCGCAAAATTCCCAGGTGACCCATTTACATTTCTACGTCGATAACAACTCTGTGGTGCAGGCTGCATATGCAGCTGCACCCGGACCCTCACAATACATTGCATTACAGATCAGACGCTCGATCGAAGACTACCTAACCACATCCCCCCTCCATCATGTCCAAATTGCATGGATCCCAGGACATCACAACATCATCGGCAACGAACGTGCCGACGAGCTTGCAAAAGAAGCCACTGGACGTAACGACTCGTACCACTCGACCTATGCAAATGCGCGCCGAAGAAACAAGGAAGGGATCTTGCAGAAATGGACAGAGAGTTGGAATAGAGACGTGGCAGCACAGACTGGACGCTTCGCTCTCGCAAATCGACTCCCACCAACGCTCAAACCCCGCCAACATTTCACTCACACTCCTCGAGAAGTATACGGCCGTCTTATACAATGCCGCACAGGACACGGATTCATGGGAGAATACTACGCTGCATTCGTTCCAACCGAACCCACCCTCTGCCCATGTGGAGAACCACGTCAAACACGAGAACATATCATACGTGACTGCCCACTATTTGCGCGACAACGCATCCATCTGCGTGAGGTATCACACAACATCATACTCAACGAAATTTTGGGTACGGAGAAGGGCATAAAGGCACTAGCGAAGTTTATTCAAGAATCCAGCGCATTCAAGAAGGTCGCACTGGAACGAGAAGGAGACTGGGAAGAAAGGAGAGGGACAGAAGCCTGAGTAAGGGCAAAGAAGGAAGTGACGAGGGAAGGAGGAGACGAGGAGAGATCAGAAGGAGGAGGAAGGAGAGAAAGTGTATCATATTATACTAAGCCTGGACACCAAACGAGCCCACACGCACACCAAAACTCATCAAACGCGGACCGCTTGGCTATTCGTACTATACCTACATCCCTCACCCTGTTACAACACTCCCCAGCACAGCCCTAACAGGGCACCGCGTCTTAACAGCTCACTTTGTTTGTTGCGGTATATAAATATAGAATTTCTCTCTCTCTCTCTCTCCTTTAATTCCCTTTTCTTTACCTACATCCACTTTACATTTTCCTCAATTACTGCCCTTTCTTCCTATTTTCACCGCATTTTCACCGTATTTTCACCGCCTTTTCGTACTTTACCATTGGACAATGTGATGCCATTTGCTCTATTATGACTACTGTTTTTGCCGGTTAATGCCTGGTAAGTGACTTTTCAAGAGCAGCAAAGTAGAATTAAGAGCGCGAGTGGCCTTTTTCTCAAAATTTTCTGCTGTGTCTTCATGTCATCTGAACGGTTCTGAAAACCCGGTCCAACCCCGAAAAATAAGAATAAATAGACATTCAGAACCGAAAATAGATCTGACATTTTACTGATGTACTGACGTGACATACTCGGTGATGGTATATGTCAAGCTGACACGGTCGTGATGCGGCGCTGAAAAACATTAACGCGGCACAGACGAACCGTGACGGCAGCATAGGTGATGATACAGCGTGGATCGGGCTTGACATGGTACTGACGTGGCACGGGTGAGACTTGAAGCTTGACGCAGCATGGATGGGGCTTGACAATGACAAGGTGAGGAAGACGAGGCTTGGCCCCGGACTGACACAGCCCGAAGAACACTTCATGCAGCATCTGAAAACTGGCAACAGACCACCTTTAGAGACAGTACAGGAGGTGTGCTACAATCCTGTGCTCAAGCTGTATGAACGCAGAGTCCGTGCGGCGTGCCTGACAAGCGTTGTAAATGCCGCGTCATTTCCACCAGGCGTCAAGACTGATATCCACGCTGCACGAGAATGCCCGCAGTAGCCTTCTCAAGTTGGAACATGTGAGCAAGGATCAAATATATTTCCTGTAATATAGATTCTTCCTATCGCCATGAAGTTCTGCCATAACAATATAGAAGCAAGCCGTCTTCCAATCATCTCCATCAGATTCATTTGATCACATATCACACTCACAAACAATGCGTTTCTGCTTCGTCTTCGCCATTGTTGCTGCTTTGGCAGCGTCAATATCTGCCAGTCCCGTTGACAGCCGCACTGACACTGACAGCAGCAGTCATAATTGTCCCAAATATTGTCACTGGTCAAACTGCTGCGCTGGTCAGACATGCGTGGCGGAACCCACCTTTGAGAGTGACAATATCGAAATAGGTGTGAGTGGTTTGCGTCCTGGATTTAACCACACGACTCACCGGAGTGGTAGGTGACCTATACATGTAAATCTGTGTGAGTGGCATGTTGCGAAAGTGAACTACAGTGAGTCGTGTTTCTGGTTTCGCATTGGTGCAGGATGGTTGATGGCACGACGCGTGACTTACTAGTGGTTTCTTGCCGAGTTGATCAATCTGCTTGCTTCTGGACAAATTTCACTGCCGCTCGAGTATTGGAGATCTTGGAATGGAGGAAATCTCAAATACTTGAATACATAGTATGTGACCGAAAAACTTGCAACGGAGTTTTGTAGTCTCGTTGTAAGCTTGAACATAGAAGCCTTTGATGACATCGCGACTCTTCCTCCCGTCATAGGCGCTGCTTACTGGGCCTCGTGGGTGCATTTTTGGTCTGGACCGAGCCGCTGGGGTTTATCACAACCCCATTAGATGGTGGATCGTTGCCTAATTGCGAAAGCTCAAGATCCAGCAATAGCACTTGTGACTTGTAGGAGTATGTCATGACTCGGATCCAATAGAACTGCTAGCTTCGATATCCTCGAGAGCATCTAGACGTGAAAGAAGTGGATAGATATAGCAGAGACTTATTTTGTATCGCTCTGAGACAGAATGGAGAGACAATCGACACCGACGAGGGAGACGTTAAGAACGTGACCTGGAGTTCCCATATACCCATGCGATGGCAAGGAGTGCAGAACTTGCTGAGAATAAGGAAATAATTTATCTCATCCAATCTGAAATCTTGATAGTGCCTGCTTCCAGTCCGCCCGAGGTTAAATTGAATGTCCATCGTTATGTAGCCCTGACGAGAGTCGAGACACTGGCATCCGTGCCTAAGAACCATCTTAGGCATGCATGTCGCCGGAGTACACAGCTATACGTGCTGCTACTAAGAATCCACGGAGTTGGTATACCAGGAGGAAGTGGTGTTGATTCTGGTTCTAACTTCTCTCGTGGCCGCACGGGAATACCCGCGGTAGCTTGGACTCTAGATCGTGAGGATGGACTTACATAAATAATGGAGTGCCAGAACAACAGTCTTACCTCCATCCTAGTCACTTGTCGATGCCCCATTGGAGAATATACTTTGGATAATAGAAACTAGTGCTGGTGCCAGTCTTATTCTCAATATTAGCGCCATCCTCTTGTTCAACAAGGACCCACAAACGCGATGTTCCCAACTCCCTGTTCCCAGTTCCACACAGTCAGTGTCCAGCTCCCAGACATCCTCTCTTCGTGTACTCCCTTTGAATTACTAACGCGCAAATGGCAGTCACTGCAGGTCCGTTTCTCAAGTGCCCCAGGCATGACTGCGCCGTAGGATTAGTACGCCTCGAATGGAGAGGACTCAAAGTTGGACTGTGGACTGCTTTGTGTTATCCTGGAGCGGATTGTAAATTGTCGGGGTTGGGGTTGACTGCGAATTTTTTGAGCTTGTTGGTGTATGAGCAGGAGCAGGATAGTGCTGGGGATGAAAAGCAAGTTTTTGATCTGTGAGTCGTCGAATTGTCTGCGGTGGTTGACCTGGTTGACACGATGGGTTGAAAGATATCTGACAGGCTCAGGCCACGTCGCCTATAAAAGCCCGGCGTGGTACATATGTTTTCATCGATCTATGCGCGCATATCACGATACAAGGCAGTGTTTGCTGGATTGCATCTGCATCCCGGATCTCGAAGCAGGGACGTGTCCGGATTTAGGATGATGTTTCACTTGATAGAGTATGCGGAGGGATTGAACCTCCCGGAGCGTGCATCGTCGCACCCATACTGAAGCAGCTAACAGACCAGGCGTGTAATATCATTGCATGGTCGGAGGTACGTATGAAACTACATTGCATACTGAAGTCTATTCTAGGATGGTTTATTTTGTGCAAAAGGCGTAACAGCAATTTCACGTCCCAATATCGTCTCCGTCCTCGTGAAAGAACGGAATCGTTCCTTTGCGATTGCATTCGCATATGTGGGCACGCTTGTAAAGCAGAGCGCGGAGGCGTTCCTTTCTTCTGAGCGTTTCTTCGCTGCGCGGATCCTGCAATGAACGATGATAGAGACGGTATGTGAGGGGGTTAAGAAATTGTATTGCGGGCACTGTGAATTGGCAGTATGAGACGGAGAGGTATTTGGGGAGTTAGGGCGTTTGGATGGGTGTTTGTGCCTGTCTTTGATTGATGTATGCACTGCTAGATGTTTTTTTTCGATTGGTAAATGATTGGACGATCTGAATATGCGGCGTTCTGGGACTTTGTGGTTCATATGAGTTCGACAGTCGGAGTACGATTGATAGATAAGTACGTACTGTAACCATTTGACTCGGTTAACCCCTGATCAAGTTCGTGAGGACCGGAGTGCACAACTTGTTGAGTGAACGGGTTTCCAAGGGAAAGGAATTGCGTCTGGAACCGAGACCGTTATAGTAGTGCATTCCATTTGGACTTGAAGTATGACATGACATTCCAATGGTGATTAACGAGTGGAGTAGGTTCCGTCGGGCGGAACTCTCGACCTTTCCTACAATATGCATCTCCGTCACTCAGGCTCTGTTTATTTCTACAGTTTGTTCGTCCGCCGACCGTCAACTTATTCTACTAGCTAGTAGGTTTTGCCTAGATTCTTGCTGGCATGTGAGCAAAACGTTTGAGTCCTGCCCACAACACAATTTTCAGCGTGTGAATGTGAGCCGTCTTCAGCGCCTCCCCCCCTCAGAAATATTCTCACTGATAAATCTCGTGTAACCTCGCACACATAATGTGCTATGCCTGTCAGTGCATGCAGTGATCTCGAACAAGACTCTTACCGTATCGGAGGCGATAAGGGGGTTTGGTAATTAGTACTAGTACTAGTAGTCACGTCGCGAACTAAGTTACGGTTGGACCGTCCATATAACCGTGCGTGAACTAAGTTCACAAGATCTTAGGAACACGCGAGGAAGGATATTTTCCGTAAGATAAGTTCTTCTCCCATCGTCATGGAGTTCTGCCAGCACAATACTATTCAGCACATAAAAGCAAGCCGTCTGCCTACCATCCCCTTCAGATTTATTTGATCACATATCGCATCATCACAAAGGATGCGTTTCTCCTTCGTCCTCGCCGTCGTTGCTGCTGTGATAGCGTCAATATCTGCCAGTCCCGTTGACAGCCGCAGTGACGCTGAGAGCAGTGGTCCTTATTGTCCCAGTTATTGCACGTGGTTAACCTGCTGCCTTGGCTTCAAATGCGAGTGGGTAGCCATATTTAATGACCAGGTTGAAGAGGTCGGAGTGAGTATGAGTAGTTTGCATCCTGGATTTAACCACATGACTCACTGGCGTGGTAGAAGGTGCAGGTATGTTTACCTGACAAGCACAGTGAACTACAGTGAACTACAGTGAGTCGCGTTTCTGGTTTCGCATTGGTGCAGGATGGTTGATGGCACGACGCGTGACTTACTAGCGGTTTCTTGCCGAGTTGATCAATCTGCTTGCTTCTGAACAAATTTCACTGCCGCTCGAGCAATAGAAATCTTGGAATAGAGAAAATTTCAAATACTTGGATACATAGCTCAAGATCCAGAAATAGCATTTGTGACTTGTGGCCCGTAGTGCTGCCGTGGTCCGGTTCGGTCCGGTTCAGAGGGTCCTGGACGAGAACCAAGAACCGAACCATGGTCCGGTTCTACAAAACCTTCGAACCCAGAACCGGACCACAGAGAACCGTTCTCTGTGGTCCAGTTCGGTTTTTTTCTGGTCCGAACTCGAACCGAACCCGAAAATTTTCAGTAAGGAGTGCGAAAAAAAACATTTACAGAGTCTCTGGAGCTTCAGCAGAAGATCTTATCCATCCCAGGATGTTCTGCACCATCCCCATTGATGATGTGGACGGTTTTCGTTCCAAGCGCTATCATTTACAGAATTCTGTTTAGGTTCACGATCGCACGAGCCGTGAAGGTCTCTCGTGATTTGCAGATGGATCAATTAATGCAGCGTCTGGTACGAGGGTGAGTCCCATTCCATAAGCAGTATCCTTAGCACACTCACCAATTATTCAGTGGTGGTCTTGTCTTCTTCGTTTTGATGGGTGAATATGAGTATTTCATCCACCCATCAGCACGCTAAACAGCACACAGCCTCGGCCACATTTTCTGTAGTTAGTGCTCGTTTAACCACAGATCCTGTCGTAAGTTACCCATATTTCTCTTCGCTTATGTGGGACCAGGCTAGGACGCGGTTGAGGATGGATACGTAGCGGAGCTCAAGTTTGGTGGAAGGCTGGAGTGAGGTGTTTTGTCACCTGATGTTGGGGGTTGGATATATCACTTTGGGCTATAGGCCTAAAATAGGGATACATCTTTTGTGGTAATTATCCACGGACCACCATCCAGATTGATATATCCACAGGGTGAATCACATTTTCGCAATTTTGGCTTCCAAAAGCAGAAATTCTCTTGTTTTATCATGTTCCCTCATGTCAGGCCTGTGCACATTATTCCCACACTCCGCATTTTCGCATTTTCAGCCACCTGCTGTGGGAATTACCCCACAACACCCAAAACATCGTCCATTTTGGGAATCTCCACAATATCAATTATTCCTACACCCTTCCCACTTCACTGTAGTTTCACCACCACACCACAATAGCTCCTTCTATATATATGAGTAGTAGGTTGGTATATATGTACATAATATGATATAATAGACCGCTTTTTTGTCTATCTATGTGCCTGGTCCTCCTCTAGGGACCATTCAACATAGGATAGGATAAAGAACACGTTTATGAGTATATATGAATAGATTCCCATCTTTATTTGACCCCCTGAAGCGCCCTACATCAATAGCTACAGTGTATGTATAACAAAACACAAAACAGGTTCGCATTTTTTGGTTTCTAGCTATATGGACTTGAACAAATTGTCCCTAACATCTATTCAGTAGTAGGAATAATGTATCAGGAGTTCAGGACCACAGGAAAAGATCTTAATGTGTAGTGCATCCCTCCTCTGCTGGTGGTTTGCCTCCTGTGAATTTTTTTGGTGGAGGACCGGACCTCAATTGAGGTAGGGGGTCTATTATTATGTATATTTAGAGTAGATGTATCATATAGCTAGCCCAGGACACACATAGGATCTTTCTACAGGAACAAAAACATAGAAAATCGCATTTTTGACATTTTTGATATGTTTCAGTATCTTACCCTTGCATATCTAGTCAACCCTGTTCATATATCATCAGTAGTACATTCAAATATGTGTCTCATGTTAAGGATCAGCTAGATATAGGGTGAAAATGTGAGATATAATGTAAAGAGGTAATTCTACTGATTAGAAGCCTATATGACAGTAAAGCCTGTGATAAGTGATCAGAGACCTGGGATACATCTCATATATGTCCCTCATGATATGACTAAAATTCTAGAAAGATCCATGAATGATTGACTGAATGACAGGCAAAATGACATGTGTATGAAAAGTGACAATTGACATTTTTTATACAAAGTCACATTCATATCTGATACTGCTTGAAAATTTCATTAAAAATATATAGGATGGATAGTAAGCTATACAAGCAACATATGCTACAGACTGCCCTGAGGATAGAGGTGGGTGGAAGGGATGTAGTGTAAATCTAAGTTCATCAAGCATAAAAGTCCAACAACTCCTGAACTGACCATTTTCGATGTTTTAGGTCTTTGAAGTTTCCCACACTCAATTTCTTATCTATTTCACTTCCTCAGCACTCAATCCTTCTTAGATTGTTCTATAATTCTAGGGATATGATACTGAATGTTTTTAAAATGTACTCCAAGTTTCTGATCATTAAAGTTCGATGTTTTGAAGGTATAGGCCCCTTATCAGTAGAAATAGCAAGTATATACACTGGCTCAAACCTCTGGCCTATTCTAAGCCGATCCTGGTTCTCAAAAGCAAGTATTTATGATATTATGTTCATATATGAACAGGTTGGACCAGAGATGCAGAAGTAAGATACTCAAACATATCAAAAATGTCAAAAATGCGATTTTCTATGTTTTGTTCCTGTAGAAAGATCCTATGTGTGTCATGGGCTTGCTATATGATACATCTACTCTAAATATACACAATAATAGACCCCCTACCTCAATTGAGGTCCGGTCCTCCACCAAAAAAATTCACAGGAGGCAAACCACCAGCAGAGGAGGGATGCACTACACATTAAGATCTTTTCCTGTGGTCCTGAACTCCTGATACATTATTCCTACTACTGAATAGATGTTAGGGACAATTTGTTCAAGTCCATATAGCTAGAAACCAAAAAATGCGAACCTGTTTTGTGTTTTGTTATATATACACTGTACCTATTGATGTAGGGCGCTTCAGGGGGTCAAAAAAAGATGGGGATATATTCATATATACTCATAAACATGTTCTGTGTACCCTAGAACACTTCCCTGCCAAAGGGGCAAAAATGCGAAACTATTCTGTATCCTACCATACAGTGGCTCAAAAAAGTGTCTCGATGTTTGCACATATTCATATAATTGCATCATTGTGAGCCAGGGTGTAGGAATATAATATGGCTATAGGGACATGTCTGAATCTGAGATATGCAGCGTGGGAAAGTGATGTCATGGAGCGGAGATATGGCTATTCTAGTTTAGTGACTCATTGAGACACTTATTTGACTTTATATCAAAATCATAGAATTAGACCACCTACACATGATGTGATCAATGACACATGTCTTAGAATATCATATGGGATGTGAAAGTATAAAAATAATAAAAATAAAGCCAAACATCAACCTTTTTTGGCATCTTTTATCACTGACTACACAAAATCAATTCAACACTCTTTCTACACAATTCAACCAAATTTTTATAGAATATCTCACATTATACTTGTGTCCACTAAAGTATTATAAATAAAACTTACTGTAGACACTATACAAGCCATCAGAAGTTCATTGGTGATCACCATTCTATGCTTTGTACCTCTACTATTTAGTATGCTATTTGCTTAAACAGTACTGACAAGCCTGCAAATGCTGCTCAAGTGACAAAAAGACTGTATAATATCTAGAAGCAGCTTATTACATCGTAGACACCATGTTGTGACTTGGGGGTAAGTGATATCAATGCTAGAATTATGTAAAAACATCCCTTTCTTATTTAGCACTATAGAAGTAAGAGTAAACACTGCTATGTATCACTAGTGCTGTACTATGAATAGCTGAACAAAAATTATACTATTAGCAGATAGAACTGGAATTAATAATCTGAGGCCAAATGGATGGCAATAGTGAAGCTTATAATCTCCTCTTCTGTAGTGCTAGAAAAGAAAGGAATGTTTTTGCCTAATTCTAGCATTGATATCACTTACCCCCAAGTCACAACATGGTGTCTACGATGTAATAAGCTGCTTCTAGATATTATACAGTCTTTTTGTCACTTGAGCAGCATTTGCAGGCTTGTCAGTACTGTTTAAGCAAATAGCATACTAAATAGTAGAGGTACAAAGCATAGAATGGTGATCACCAATGAACTTCTGATGGCTTGTATAGTGTCTACAGTAAGTTTTATTTATAATACTTTAGTGGACACAAGTATAATGTGAGATATTCTATAAAAATTTGGTTGAATTGTGTAGAAAGAGTGTTGAATTGATTTTGTGTAGTCAGTGATAAAAGATGCCAAAAAAGGTTGATGTTTGGCTTTATTTTTATTATTTTTATACTTTCACATCCCATATGATATTCTAAGACATGTGTCATTGATCACATCATGTGTAGGTGGTCTAATTCTATGATTTTGATATAAAGTCAAATAAGTGTCTCAATGAGTCACTAAACTAGAATAGCCATATCTCCGCTCCATGACATCACTTTCCCACGCTGCATATCTCAGATTCAGACATGTCCCTATAGCCATATTATATTCCTACACCCTGGCTCACAATGATGCAATTATATGAATATGTGCAAACATCGAGACACTTTTTTGAGCCACTGTATGTTAAAAGTACCCTGGAGGAGCAGTGTGCACATAAATAGACAAAAAAAGCGGTCTAATATATTATATTATGTACATATATACCAACCTACTACTCATATATACAGAAGGAGCTATTGTGGTGTGGTGGTGAAGCTGCAGTGAAGTGGGAAGGGTGTGGGAATAATTGATATTGTGGAGATTCCCAAAATGGACGATGTTTTGGGTGTTGTGGGGTAATTCCCACAGCAGGTGGTTGAAAATGCGAAAATGCGGAGTGTGGGAATAATGTGCACAGGCCTGACATGAGGGAACATGATAAAACAAGAGAATTTCTGCTTTTGGAAGCCAAAATTGCGAAAATGTGATTCACCCTTGGATATATCAATCTGGATGGTGGATAACTACCACAAAAGATGTATCCCTATTTTAGGACTATAGTCCTACTTTGATGTATCAATATGACATTATGGGCTGGTTTTGTGGGGTGTCCGGGATCTGTCACAGACTCTTATTTGGCCATGTCTCAGGTGTTACCATTAAAGACGACTGGTGCCACTGATGGATAAGGAAGTACATTGTGGTGAGAAGTAAGAGGTGTTTGCAACCATAATTTTTCGGCCAATGAAAATGTAAGTGTATGATGCTGAGGGTGATAGAGTGATGTTGCAAGTGGTGATCAAAATGATCCCATGGCTCAGCGGTATGCAGTGTCATGGTAGTCAGGATAGTAGATTGATCAATCACCATATAGATCAGCACATGTGAGTGTAGCAACAGGGCATGTATTCACCAGCCCAATGCAATACATCCATTGAAAGTTCAATCAAGCAAAATGTATGCCTTCATCGTGAAGCTAGCACACAGTGGATGCCATCCACGCTCCATTGCTGCTTGATATCGAATCTTTATCCTCATCTGAACAGTGAAGTCTGGTCACTGAATGAACCTTTTTTTATTTTATTTTTATTTTTATTTTTTCCTATTTCTGTCCCATTGAGAGATATACTCTATGCAGGACAATACAATCTAGTCTAAAGGGACCCCCAGTGTCCCTAATGCGTCTCGGAGTGCACGAATGCTCTGGTGTAGGGTGTGCCCCACCAGTCCGCCATTCCTGCCGGCCATTTTAGACGTGCCACCCACTAAGATGAGATGACTTTGTAGGTGTGTGTGTGTGATTATTTCTATCGTATGGACATCAGAATGCATACTCGGTCGCATGGTGCGATCTAGTACAGGAATCTAGAAGGATTGCAGATGTGTTCATAGGAGAGTAGAGAGAGGGCCGCACGTGTGCGCTGTCGGTCCTGTCTGGTCCATCTGACTGATACCGCTTGGTGTTGAGGGGGTTGAGATTCCATGTATGCGAGTGTGGGTCGAGAGAGATGTGGTTGTACATGGATTATGTGCTGGCATTGAACATGTCAGGTTGGGAATACAGATCTGTGGGACAACAACTGATTTAGCCTGGATGTGTGCGGGGCAAGGTTACTTCACCGAAGGTCGAGCGAAGTCGTCCAGTAGCATTGACAAAGTGAATGAGGTGGAGGGTGGCGTCCGGGTTGGTCAGAAGGTATGGGAGGGAGGATGCCTTACGGCTGAGTGAGCACGTGAGAGCGTGCCGTGCACAACAATATTGCGGGCAGGTCAGGAGGTAGTGTGGGATGGTCTCTTCGACTCCCGGGCAGTGCTGACAGTGTGGCGATGGTGATTTTCCTATACGGTGCAGGTGTTTGCGCAGAGGAGCATGGTGGGTGCGCAGAGCTATGTATAGACCGGTGAGTCGCTTGGGAAATTTCGCGGTGAGCTTTATGAAGGAGTTGCGCAATAATTGGGGGTCTATGTGATGAGCGCGAGCGTAGCAGGGTGATTTGCGCCAGATTCTCCCCCAGCGGGCATGTGTTTCTTTACTGTGCACCTCTTTGAGCGCAGAGATGCTGAGCGGGAGTGTTCTATGCCGTAGGTAGTTGGGGAGCTGTGGTCGTGGGCTATTATTGTGGTATCCCTCTGCTGCCTTCTTCGCGTGCTTGTCGGCCTCCTCATTTCCATGAACATCCGAGTGACCTGGTACCCAACGTACTGTGATGTCAAAGTCGGCGTGATCCTTGGCGATATTCTTCATCATCCTGCAAAAACAATCTGCTAAATACGAGCCCGGTCTAGTGTAGAAGCCCTCACTGGATTGGATAGCTGCTTGATTATCGACCGAGATGGAGATCAGGAATGTCAGATCCCATTCAGTTGCGATCAGCCTTGCTGCTAGGGTTAGACCGACGGCTTCCGCCTCGTAGACCATGTGTTCCTTTTCTGTTCCCAAGTGGTAGCGTAATGTTCAAGGTCGTCTCCCTGCTCGGAACAGAACTGCGGCTGCTCCGATCTTCCCCTGGTGGCCTGATCCATCGCTATATACTTGGATGGTGTCGGTGAGTTGGACGTGCTCTTCTATGGCCTGTGCCTTGGTGGGCGCTATGTGAGTTCTGTGAGGGTTGGAGCTGGAGGGGGGTCTGCGTGCTGGGATAAGTGTTTTGATTTCTTCGGGGACAATCGCAAAATGGCGGGTGAGGCGATGGAGAGACATGCGGTGGGATGCTACATAGCGCTTGGCTGCTCGGTGGACTAGCTTGTGTAGAGGGTGGGTGACAGGGTGAGTGGATAGTCTGACAATGGCCCGGTGGCAGGCGTTTTGTAGGAGTAGAGGTATGGGAAGTAGGTTGGCATGGGTCTCTAGTACGTCTGTGGCTGTGGTCCTCATGGCACCTGTGATGGCTAGCGCTGCGATGCGTTGGACTGAGGTCAGACGTTTGGCTACCCCGATCAAGCCTCTTTGCAGAGCGTCGGAACTGTCGCAGAAGGTGGGGGTGAACCATAAGTCCACTGAGTATAGCATCTTGGGAACAGCAACTGTGTGGTACAGTTGATGCATCAGGCATAGTGGGAGTCCTTTGGCTGTCGAGGATAGCCTGCGCAACTGAAACACGTATGTGGTGCCCTTTGCGATGGCATTATTGACTTGGTCGTTCCAACGTAGTTCTTGGTCGACTATGACCCCTAGGAAGCAATGGGAAGGTGTAGGTGTGATGACGGCGCCTTGAATGTGCATGACTGGGCGTGTTTTCTGTCGATTCATAGAGAAGTCCATAAGGGCGAACTTATTGGTCTCAAATTGCGAATTGTGATCTCTTGACCAGTCATACCCTCCTCCCGGGCATTCTAACATATCTGCTAAGATGGTGTGCGTTGTCTCAAAATCCTTTGCTATAGCGATGAAAGCCGTGTTGTTGACAAAGGTGAGAGTCAGTTCCTTGAGTGCTTGTTGACCCTGACGGGGCTTGGCGATGTCAACGAGGTCGGAGCTATATATAATATAGAGGATCATAGAGAGGGGGTCGCCTTGTCCAATCCCATTGGTAATGGGGATCCAATCTGATGTGTATCCATCAAAGCATAGTTGCGTCTGTCGATTTGTTAGCACCCGCTCTGTGAAGTCAATGATGTCACCTGGGATGTGCTGCATGCGCATGTTGTGGATAAGCCTCTTGGTGACTGCGTTGGGGAAGGCGCCCTCAATGTCGAGGTAGAGGACAGAGGCCACCTTGTGAGATCTCCAAGTGTTCTTGACGGTTTCCTCGAGTAGGTGTAGAGAGTCGGTGGTGGAGCGTCCTGGTCGTCCTCCGAAGTGTGTATTGGGCAGGAGTTGGTATCGTTCAAGCGTGTAGGTGAGGCGTTCCTCTACTACTGCGGTCAGGAGTTTACCCAGGGTGTTGAGAAGTGTGATGGGGTGATAAGCCTTTGGGATGGAGTAATTGGGCTTCCCGGGTTTCCGTAGCACTACTGTGGTGAATCTCCTCCATGGCTCATAGTACGTGTGGTGAGAGAATGCGGCGTTGAAGAGATGGGTTAGATAGGGGACAAGCGTGTCAGCGCATTGCTTGTATATGATGTTACAGATCCCATCAGGACCTGGTGCCTTATAGCCGCTGAGTTTGCGAATGGCTCGCGATATCTCGTCTGATGTGATGGGGGTGTGTGGTGCGATAGGATCAGGGTAGATTATGTCAGTAGGAACGGAGTCATGGATCGGGGGTGGGGGAAAGAAGGACTTAGCAATAATGGTGCTCTTTTTGGCGTTGGTATTGGCTTCAGTGGTGGTGCTGTCGGGCTTCTTGATTATGAGAGTAGGGATTCTGGTCTTGCCTCCGTCCTTGTGTTCAGACGAGATGTACTTATTGGCAGTCCATAGATCATTTCCCTCAATGTCCTCCAACCATTCAACCCAATGTTGCTTCTTTGTCGTCTCTATCTCCTCTGCATAGCGTTTCTTGAGGGCCTTGAGTTTGTCGTGACAGGCATGTGCTGGGAGACCGCGCATTTGGTAAGCTTCCCCGCTGAGCATGTTGACTTGTTGACGAAGTTTGGTCAGTTGACGAGTCCACCAGCGCTTGGAGTGTGGGCAGGGTTTGGAGTATGGGACATGTACTTCCATGGTGCCCGTGATGGCTTGAGTGAGGTGACGGGCAGCTTCCTGAAATTCTGCGTCAGAGGCTAGCGGTTGAGGAGGGAAGGGGAGAAGGGCTTGGTTGAGGTGTTTGTTAAAGGCTTCCCAATCAGTTTCTCACCAGTTCCGACGGGGCTCGTTATCGACTTTTGGGGTCTCGAGCTCTAAGATGAGGTGGATAGGGACGTGATCGGTTCTGGGACCTCGTTGGGCTGGATCTGTAGTACATGATATTACTGTGTCAACAAGGGTCTCAGTTCTGAGTACGTTGTCGGGGTGTGTCCAGTTACCGGTACTCGTAGATTGCAGGGTGGGAATACTGCATGGTAGTATCTGTATCATTCCATAGTCAGCGATCAGATCAATGAGTGGTTGAGCGGTGTTATAGTTAAATAAATGACTGTTGCGGGCCTCCTCCCATAGCGGGTGGTGTCGGTTGAAATCTCCCATCCAAATCATGTGGTCGTTCTCCGTGGGTCAAATGGTCGCAATGTTGCTATCCAGGTAGGTGTTGAGGGTCGTCAGGGTTTCTTGACTTCTGCTGTCATTATAGATATTAAATATAGTACAGTGTCTGTACGGGCCCATGATTTGGGCTATTACAACGTCCGATGATGGGAAGGTGATCTGTTTCCAAGAGTTGGTGTTCAGGGAGGTGCTTATTAGGGTGATGGCTCGGGTGCGTTGTAGAGGGTGAGTATAGTGCTGGGATGGGTATAGTACGTGCCAGTGGTGGTTGGCGCAGGTGTTACGTAGGAAGTTGATGTGAGGTTCTTGGATGACGATTATGTCCCAGTCGGCTGCATTAGGGTTGTTGAGCAGCAATGCTTGCGCCGTCATTGAAGTGTTTAGGTTCTGCTGCCAGATTCTTAAACGGATGGTAGGTTCGCGGGCGTGCTCAGACATGATTGGGGGTGGATGATTGGGTGCTGTCGGGGGTGTCTGCTTCATTGAAGCGAAGAGGCAGGATGATGTTATGGATGGAGGGGTCTTGGGGTGGCTGGGGTGAGCGAGGGTGCTGAGGGTGTTGCATATGAAAATTGATGGTGGTCTGCCTAGTTCTCTGTGTTCCTGTGGGTTGGGAGCATTCCGGAGTTGGTGATGTTGTAGGTAGTCTGGTAGGTCTGGGGGGTTGGGCCGCCTGCATCCAGGCGTGTTCTGTGGGGAAGTAGGGCATGTGGTTTTCCGGGTACTTGGTGTCGATTTCTTTGCAACGTTTGGTGAATTCCAGGCATGATCTGCTCCAGCCCGAATGCTGATGACTGTGGCAGTTGATGCAGTGTGTGGTGCGGTAGGAATTGCATTCGCTGGGCGGTGTTGGTTTCCGCATGTGCCGCATGTGTCTGTGGTGGCGGTGCAGTTCCTTGCAATATGGTTGAATTTTTGACATTTAGCGCAGCGAATAGGCTCTTTCTTATCCTTGCATACACCAATTCGTTCATTCTCGACGCATATGCCTTCGCGTAAGATGTCGTTGGCAGTTTGGATGTCTGCTACTTGTACGAGGGCGAAGGCCTTTCGCTGCTCTGCTGAGCGCTTCGCAGGTGGTTTGATCCATCAAATGCTTATCAGTGAGCCGCTGCTGAGGTTGTTGTTGTTTTCGATTTTGCGTAAGAAGTCTTCTTTGTCGATCTGCAGGTGAATGGGTAAGTATTCTGCGACTATCGGGTAGGTGCGGTTGCGGAACAATACAGCTGATTCCATGTTGCTTTCCAGTGCTGTTCTACCTGTCGGGCTGTTTAACCATTTCGCTAGACTCTCGGATTCCAATTCGACTACTATTCCTCTGTTACGCAGCACCATGATGGCCCGGATATTTCCTGGTGGGGTGATATCGTCCTTAGCTTTAGTAAGCGCGTCCTTTAGTTTCTTGGTGATGTCGGAATTTGATGTGTTGGGGGGGAATAGGGTTTCTCCTGGTACGGGGTCTAAAAGGATCTGACGGGCATGGATGGCCGCCCTCCCTACTGCCTGGTCTATTGTTGGTGGGAGTTGTGAGGCTGTGATGGAACTGTATGACGGCTGAGATGAGGTTGCGGTTGCGGGTTGCGAGGAGGTGGTTGAGATCTGGGTGGAGAGGAGGTTGATGCGGTCCTGTGTGGCTTCGAGGGAGGGTGAGAGTAGCTTTATAGCGTTCTGGCAGTCTTCGACTGAGGAGAAGAGGGTGTCCGCAGCTTCCTCAATTCTGTCTGCTGCAACCCTGATGTTACTATCTTTCTCTTCTTTCTCTCTTTCTAATATACTTTTCAATTTCTCCACCTGTTCCAGTGTAGTCGCAAGGGTCGTCGAGGCCGTGTATACTCGTGCTACTTGGGGGGCTATAGCAGCAACCACGTGATCGACTAGGCGAGGGGTGAGCGTGTCTGCTAGCTGTTTGGCTGCTAATTCAGCAATTTCACAGGCTGCATGATCTTTCAGGAGAAAGGTGACAGCTCGGATTGCTGAGGTGACTGGAAGGGGGGTGGTACTGGACATTTGAGTAATTTGAAAGAGGACTGTAATCAAATGTGTCAGCGTGAATGGTTGATCAATATTGCAAATTAATTTTGAGTTAAGGTATCATTTTCCACTCTCTGAGTCCTTTACCACACTGGCCATTGCTTTGATATCAGCTTGAGAGAGTGTGGATCTTTTTGTTTTCCGGGTATTTAGGCCATAGGTTGGGGAGGTGGTGTGCAATCCAGGTGGTCTCGATCCCACGCTAACTGTGTTCCCAAATTTCAGGAGTGCAGCGACGCATGCAGTGCAGCTTGATTCCTTTTTGACAGGAGATGTGCTACTCACCACTTAAATATGTTTATCGAACAGGTGGCATCGTGTACCTGGTGAATGGTTCAAGACTTGGCGAGGCTTGTATGTACGGCGCTAGGATGAGGGCGTGGTCGTGCAAGTATATCGTGAACACCTCGCTCGACCATCGTCCCATTGATTTGACCATGTTGAAAGGTATGCCTCTCCAGGCTATACTGTCCTATTCATGTATGATATAACTAGGGTTGTAGTAATGTAGCCATGCATGTTTTTACTGTAGTGAGCCTCAGTATGATCACAGATAGAACATGCATGGCATGAAGTGCAAATCTGAAGTAGCTTCTCAGCACTTCCTAAACCTAATCTGACAGGGTTAGATGCCATATATATGCACCACCGCATTTTTTTGACTGTGGGAACTTTATCACTACATCCAAATTCTGGTCATCTCCTGGATCTCAACATTTCCCACACTCCTCCCCAGCATATTCCTGCCCACCACCATACCATATCCACCTATCTACGTAGATAAGTATTAGTATAGGCTATGTACATATAATAGGTCAGAATAGAACACTTTTTTGTCTGTTTTTGTACCAATACAAGCTCCAGAGACCTGTACATATAACACAGGAAAAACATATCAAAAACACATCCGCATTTTTGTCCCTTCAATTATATAATGTATTAGCACACTAATTATATGCTTTTTAGTATATATGAGTCTATTCTACCGCTTATTTGACCCTCTAAAAGTCCCTACACCACTAGATGTAGCATGCACACAAAAAATATCAAATAGCTTCGCATTTTTTTAGTTTAAACTATATAGACTTGAAAATATGACCCCCAGCAACCTTTAAATAGTATATACAATATTCCAGGAGCACAAGACCGCTCATCCACAATTGATGAATAGCGAAGTAAAATATGATGTTTCTTAGGAGAAAAAAACTACAAATGTCATAATTGATGCATATACAGGGTAAAGATTTTCTTAAAAGTCAGTAAATTACATAGTACCCAAAGAAACTTCCTACACTCTATTCCATGGGTAGAGGTGGAGTGGAAGGGTTGTTGTATGAATGTAGGTTGTTTGGAGGCCATAGCTGTATGTGTATGAAGTGTTGGTTTTCGATGTTTTGACTCCTTAGGTTTCCCACAGTCCAATTCTTATCTATATGCTTGCCCTGCTCTCAATTCTAGGTGGATCATCCTGTAACACTAGAAAAATACTTCCTAGTGCATTTAGAATGGACTACAACCGTCCGATCTCCCTAGATCTCCCTGATGACATGCAAAATTCCTTATCACTCAATATATCTACTATATCCATGATATCAATGATCCGCCCTATTTCTCACTGATCCTGGCCATGGTTGGCCTTTAACACACCCTATGTATTATATATGAGCCTGCTAGATAATTTACATGGTGGTAAATGAGTATAACCATCAAAATTGCGAAAATATACACCCATGCAAGCAGGAGGAAGTATTGATATACAAAAGAGGATTCTGCTACTGTTGGCATATTTTTATGATACATATATGTTCTATATACACCTAGAAATATAGTCCCTACATTCCTGGAAGGCCGGAGCCCCAGGGAAAACTTTCTCAGGAGGTGAACCATCAGGGGAGGATAGCAATACAGCACACCAGGGACTGGACCTGTGATCCTATTATCATCATATCTTGTATATGCTATTGAAAGGTTGCTGGGGGTCATATTTTCAAGTCTATATAGTTTAAACTAAAAAAATGCGAAGCTATTTGATATTTTTTGTGTGCATGCTACATCTAGTGGTGTAGGGACTTTAGAGGGTCAAATAAGCGGTAGAATAGACTCATATATACTAAAAAGCATATAATTAGTGTGCTAATACATTATATAATTGAAGGGACAAAAATGCGGATGTGTTTTTGATATGTTTTTCCTGTGTTATATGTACAGGTCTCTGGAGCTTGTATTGGTACAAAAACAGACAAAAAAGTGTTCTATTCTGACCTATTATATGTACATAGCCTATACTAATACTTATCTACAGTAGATTGGTGGATATGGTATGGTGGTGGGCAGGAATATGCTGGGGAGGAGTGTGGGAAATGTTGAGATCCAGGAGATGACCAGAAATGGATATGTTTTGGATGTAGTGATAAAGTTTCTACAGTCAAAAAAATGCGGTGGTGCATGAGGATGCAAGGCATGGTCATCATGCATGAATTGTGGACTAGGATAGCAGTAGAACATGCATGAGGTCTAGACTACAGTAACAGTAATATCATGCATGAATACCACAGCATCAGGTGGCCTCTCAGCAGGTACTCTAGAGTACCTCCTATGCGCAGGCTATGCCCTTTCAAATCAGGTAGACTGGCTGCTGTTGTAGCACTTGCCATCCTTTTAGAGAATTCCTTCTTCGATAGCAGTCTAAGTCCCTTGGGGTGTCTCCACACGAACAGGTGCACTTTATTGTTGGCCAGGGTTGACGCAAGGTGGTTCTCTAGCACTGATTTGGGATCTTTAGGGCCATCTTGTCTGGCCCAAAAGGTCTCTTCTCCCTCATTCTTAGCTGATTTTGTGTAGGGTAAGTGTGGAATTTTGCAACTGGTCTGCCTTTGCGGTCTTGCGCTTCTGAGATGTCTCCTCTGGTGATGTGCTTCTTTGGATTGAAGTCTCTGATCGCTCCCACTGTGAATTCTCCTAGTCTCGTGATGCAGTAGAAAGTGGTTGTTAAACAGGCAAAAATAGCCGCGTCTAGCAGAGTGTTTAGATCGAGATAGTTACGAATATTGGCGATGAAGTCTATGGTTGTAGGGGTTCTTTTGGGAAGTTTAGATGATACTGGGGCACATGCTGCCACTCCATTTAGAATGGACTTCAGTTTGCGAGGGTCAATCTCCCATGCTCTGCCATGAAGCAAATGCCAGGCTTTCAAGGCTGCTATGTAGTTGGACAGCGCTGAACTGGAATAGGATCCTGCACAGCTCGAAAGGAACTTGAGCAGCAGGTTCGGAGTGACGGGGCAGCATTTGTCTTCCTCTATGTTTAGCATGTCACAGTACACATGAAACACGAGGAGCCCGCCGCCGTAGGCCTCTTTTGTGGATTGTGCCCATGAGGAACCCATTACTTTGAGAATCTGGTCCAACTGCTTGTCTGTTACTGTGTGTTCTAGAGTGTCTGATGCTGATGCCACTGCTTGTCTGGTGCTCTCTCCCGCTGGAGACCATAAGCGTAGCCTGTCTCAAGTGAGGCAGTGCGGTCGGAGGGATGAAGGGTTTGGTGTGAGATCCAGACGATAGGCCTGGGGGTTTGCAGCTGGAGTACCTGCCTTTGGTAGTGGCGCTTCGAACTGACAGGTCTTCATCGAGTCATTTATCGCGGAGGGCACTACTAATGAGATGGTCTTCCTCAATATGAGAGGCTGCGATTCTTTCTGCAGCTTGCTGGTAAACAAGGGCGTGGTTAATGAGTTTAGCTGCTGGGGTGGAGTAGTTTCCACTGTGTAAGTGGTGGATTTCGGCTGGGGATAGAGGTTTGGTTGCATTGATGACGAAAGGGTGAATGTCGGTTGGAATGGAGATTGGTGGAAGAAGAAGTTCGGTTGGGCCATAGATGCCTCTAGATGGGCCATCTGCTGGATTGAATTCACTGGCAACATAGGTTGTAGCAATTTCGAAATGGTGGGGTAGGTTGTGTATGAAATTCTGGATTCATTGAAAGATGACATTGACTTCAGCATTGCGGTGTCGGTTCTTCCACCATCCTTTGACGACTCCCATATTATCTCCATGGACGAGGAGGCAGCTACTAAGGTTAGGCTGAGTGGCGAGAGCATATACGAGGAGCTCGAATCCCACTGCCTCTGCCCATCTGATGTCACGTTTACCATTGAGCATTTTCCAACCTGGTATAAGTCTCCATGCTCGCCAATGATTTCCAATGACAATCCCAATACCAATGCCCTAGCTTGCATCTGAAAATGCCTGAGGGTCTGTGAGTGGAACAGTGGGATATATCGGCCTAGATACTCCTCCCGATTGTAGTAGTAGTGACCACCAGTCTAATTTGTCAGTAATACTTTTTGAGGCTCTATGGAGGAGGAAAAGATTGGTTCCACACGACAACAGCATTCCTTCAAGCCCAGTTAAATAAGCTTTGCCTCAAGGTACGGTGGCACACGTGTGCAGTAACTTTCCGTATAGCTCTTGTATGTCTCATAAGACGTGTAGCAGGCATTTTCTCCATTTGTGAATCGCTGTGAGGTATTTGTCAACTTTCGCTGTACTTAAGGACACGAACATTATTTTTAAGTCCCACAGGAAACCAATGTAAACGGTTGAGGACTGGAATGGTTGATCCTTTAGAAGTTCCCAAATTATTCCTAGTTTGATGGATAGATCGTTGATGTCTTGCAGACAGAAGGTGAAGAGTTCGTCGTGTTCGGACTGTGATGACACTTTTGATAGGTCTTTAAGGGGGGATATGCAGTTCTTGCTGAATTCTTCCATTTGACCACTGTTTGGACATTGAGTCCCATACCATAACCTTCCCCTGGACTGATTTATTCCAGATTGCGTCAAGGTTTGGTTCCAAGTGAGACACTGCTGGTTGTATGCTGTGGGGAATTCCCCCACTGTAAATGTAAAACCCCGTCCTTTCCGCATCGTCTCACATCAGTTCTGCTGATTCCGCACGTTCCGCATTTCCCACACATCGTCCAATGCGTTCCGCATTCCTGTGCATCCTTTGGAACCCACCCGCACTATCCGGTATTCCTGTGCATCGTCGGACAACCTTCGCATGTCCTGTCCCCATCCTTCCAGGCTCATTGGTATGCTGTATCTCTCTTCCCATTGTTCCTAACGTTATCCGGATCACACTGACACATGCCCTTATGGCACGGACCCCTATTCCGGAGTATTGCGCCCATGTGCACTGCCTGCCTTCACTTCCGCTTCCTGAGAAGTTTACTACCTGTACCTCAGTGTTCCTTGAAAATAATCTTCCCTTTAAGTAGTGGTACTCAGGGCTTGGGTGATTATTATCAAATCCCATCTTTTACCTTCCCACTTTCCCTTCACCTTACTAGAGGACTGCTTTGACTTATGCCCACTATCAATCTAACCTCGTGATATACTTCCTTCGACTTCGCCTGCAAGTTCCGACGAATCAGTACGTTCCGCACTTTATCCGTTTGAGTTCCGTTTCATTCCTTTCCATTCTGCTTGAGTTCCGCTCAGGTTCCACTTGTTCTGCGTGAGTTCCACTTGTTCCACATTTTTGCAGATCCTCATCCTACCTGTGGTAGGGTTGAACAGGGTCGCTTAGACAGAGATTAGCACTCCCCAGTGGCAATCCCCTTTAGGGTCGAACGTGCTTGTTCTCAAGTGAGGCAGCAGGCAGCAAAGACCCAACTGTGTAGTAGATCAATTTCTCGCTGCTGCACTTGTTGTACCCACAACGCGGGCAGGTGTTCTTGACGGATCCTGAAAAATACGTGGTCATTGACCCATTTGTCGAGAGGACTGATACCATGGTAACGAAAGATCTCAGCACCTGCATCGGCAATGTGTCCATAAACACCTGCCGATGGTGTAGTTCAAAACGCCGTGCGGGTGTCTACACAGAAAAGCATATCCAATATTCTAACTACACCTGCTGGCCATTGTGAATGGTGTAAGGGTACTGTGCGATAGGCTTCAGCTATGTCTCTTGTGGCGGCTTCCGACCCTGGGGGTAGTCTTGATATCAATCGATAGATCATCGAGAATTTTCCCCAAGTCATCGGGAAGTTATCCCCATCAATGTGTGAATTTATGGACAGATTGGGGTGATAAGCGCTGGTATCCTGCGGGAAAGAGAAATTTTGTATGATTCTGAACTTTCCAGGTTTGCCAGGTTTAGGAATAATGGAGAGCAGGGATGATTGGAAGGGTCCTATCAATGTTTCTAGAACATCCGCTGTGAACAGGCCTATGTACCTTCCTTTCTCAAGTTCCTTCTGAATGATGCTATTGAATTCAGCTGCGTACTCATTAATAGATGCTTTGTTCAGGGGTGTTTGTACAGATGTGATAGCTGGAAAGTCTATATGGAAACCGGATTGGAATCCGACTGGTATTTTAGCGAAGCACTCGAGAATTCCTGCTCTTTGCAATTCATGTTCCCAGCTATTTGCTCTATATGGCATCAGCGGATGAAGCTTTCTGTGCTCGAGGGCACCTCTGGGCTCCATGTGAGGTGGCTCCACAGCCAGAACAGATATGGTGTGCATCATGCTTGGGGATGGTACAACCTTCTTCCCTTTGCCATGCTGTACATAGTTGTTTACCGTCTTTGGACCACAGGGCTTTGCGGATGCGCTCCATGAAGGTGTCAAACTGTTTGTCCCAGGTCTGCGTGACGGCACACTTGATAGCATGGTGTGGGTTACGTCCCAGGCATACTGCGCAACATGGGAGGGGTCCCAAAGGAGGAGCGCAAGCAATGCATACCTTCTTGTTGCTCCCTGCCACCTCCTCTGTTGTTGGTAACAAACATTCCATAGACACCCCCCCGGGTTGTTGCTGGCGGAGCGACTCGAAGTTGTTTGCAACAAAGGTTGCTGCTGCTGCTTGCTGCAGTTGTGAAGGTTGCCCGTGCGATTTGGTGTGGCAGGGTCAGGTGTGACGTGGAGGTCATGATTGACCAGCGGTAGAGAAAAAGGCACATGATGGCCGAATTTCAGGGGGGGGGAAATGGCACGTGATGGCCAAGTTTCGGGGGGGGGAAGGGTACGATGTTCAGCCACATCAAACCAGTGGTGTTGTCGGCATGTGATGGCCAACAGATGGGGATGAGGTGAGTGATTTCACCAAGTTAAAGTGGTAGTGCATACACACAATGTGGAGCAGTAGATTGATTAGCGGCACAATAATGGTTTGATTGAAGTGTTTGTACTGACCTGAATCACTATTACCGTTTGCTTTTCCCGCTGCTCATTGAACAGTTCTTCATGTGCTTCTAGGAGGAGATCTTGATTGATCTCCTCAAGGCTCCATGTTTGGCCCGTTCCTATAGCAAGATGCCATCTGCGGTGTTGCTGCGATTGGTACAACAGTAGCGCTTGTTGTTTGAGGTGGTCTGAGGAGTGCTGCCAGCAATGGTTCTGTAAGGCTGACCAGAATTGAATGTGCATGTTGACGCGCTCGTCTGGCCAGTCATGAATCCTCATGTAATTGAGAATACGTGATGCCACCTTGTTGAACTCCTCCCAGGTGAGGCTCTCATCTCTTGTCACTGGTGAGGCTTTGGGGTCTTTCACTGCATCTGCAGGAATCCAGGAATGAATGCTGTCGTTGGAGGGGAGCATTACTAGGGCATCTGGCTCTGCAATTTGTGAGAGTTTGTTGGCGTCATCTAGGCCTTGGTTGGTGAAGTAGTGTAACTCGCAATAGTCTCCTGCTTTGATCTTCCTCGTGGCATACAGAGCTGGGAGGATTGTTGGATCTGACGGAACTTTTCCTCGAGTGAATGGAGCGTACTTATTTTTGTTTTTCTTCCATTCTTCTAGCTGAGCTGCTTCTCTTTCTTCTTGGAGGACTTGGTTGCGTTGCTCTTCTTCTTCTTCTTCTTCTTCTTCTTCTTCTTCTTCTTCTTCTTCTTCTCGCTGACATAGTTCTTGTATTCGTTCTTGTTTCTCGGCCCAATGCACTTTGTCGGTGTTGTTGGTTAAAGTCCACAAGGACACAAGCATGTGCACAGCTTGGTCTTCAGTGAGACCATCTTCTACTAGTTGTAGACGAGCTTGTTCATGCTCTCTAGTAGTGAAATCAGGCCTTGCAGCCTCATTTGGATTCTCAAGGTGCATTGTGGAAGTGGGAATGCAAAGATGAATAGTTAGTGCCTAGTACTTAGGACGAGAGAATACTGCGATGGTGGGCAGAAGCAAAGAGCGCACGCCACATCGCTTATTCACGCATAGACTAATTCTAATCCGGCCTAGTTCCTTGGCCAGCTTAGACCACCAGTAGATACAAACCTTACCAAGACCAACTTATCATGTGCTACTACAAAAATTCAAACCCAGCCCAACTTTGATTCCCCTCACACTCTCACCAGTGGCTGGAAGATAACATTTGTCAACATCTCAAATCAGCAGAACAAGAGGCGGAAGGCACGGTAGAAATAACTAGAACCCTCGTACCAGTTACACCCAGTATAGATAAATAACATGTTTATACAAGCCACCTGCACCACACTATGAAACCCCACTTACATCAGGAAAAACCCGAAAATGCGGGAGCCCCCTGGCCTAAATATAGGAGACCTACAAGGGCCTTATATTGCCATGTAGCTAAATAAGATGTTGATGTAGCACAATGGACCTCTGTGCCTGGGTCTGAGGCACAACATAGCATACAGAGTTTCTTGGCTGGTATATTACATATGTAGACCATGTTGTCCATGTTGCAGTACAAACCTACGTGATACCAGCAGACATACAAAAAGCATCAAGGTCTATAAAATGGACTGTGCCAACTCATACACATTGTGACATGGATGCACAATTTCATCAACATACACTACAGCAGCATTCCATTGTAGATGGTGAGTGGAACACGAGATTGTTTGCAGCCCCACAATAGGGTCAGGGTCACTGAGTGGTGTGAATCACTTGACAAAAGCTAAAGGGCATTGATAATCTCCGAATTGTTGAGGCAAGCCATTCAGAGCACCAAACAAATGGATGAGCATAATTGAATAATGACATAGTGCATGCTGACATGGCAGTGAAAATCCATCAAATTGAATATCAGTATCTTGCAAAATTTGCTGATGGAAATGAAAGCGTTCAAGACAGTCAGAAAGCTGTAGAAGGGTGTCCTCTGTGATAATGTCTTGTCTCACGATGTAACAAAATTCGAGGAAGGCCCAAAACACCGGATGATACCCTGAGGGACATGTCCCTTGATCGCAGGGAGATAGACTTTCATGAGGGCCTTTGAGTCGTCACCTGTCCATTGAGAGAATCTGTGTCCTCATGGAAATTGACAAAGTCCTGCGAAAGGCGGAGCTGCAGTGATTCTAATGAGATGAGAAATTAGTTAGAACAAATTTGAAAAAACATGCTGAAACTCACCGATGATCAATATCATCCAAAATCACCTTCACACACGTCTTCCCGTGCTCTTTTTCAAGATACTTCTTGACCCATGCCATGAGATGGTATTTAAATGCTCCCTTGAATGACTTGATGCAGGATGTCCAGTGCAAGAAGCTGGTGAATATTGGCGCAAGGGAAGTCATTGGTGAAAGGCTGAACATATGTTAAAACGATACCATAAAATGGTAGAAATACTCACCACTACATCACTGATGACTCCCCATTCCTGTTTGGTACCATGCTGCTCAAGTAGTGGAGGGGTCGGGGCTTGGCTTCAGCTCTTGTGCCTGCGCCCTTAGCTGAGTACGTGCCCCAAATTTGGAGCAGGTCCAACATTGTCCAACGATAGGACGGGTGAACCGCTAGGGTCCACTTTGAGGGTTGGGAGGTAACTGCTACTAGCGGTGGGCCGACTAGGAGCGGAGCGGGGAAGGTGGAGGATAATGCGGAGGGTGGATAGGAGCAGAGGGGATTTATTGATATGAGCAGAGAAGTAATAGAGAAGACTTAGAGCGTGGCTCTAAGTCAAAGCGGAGGGTCGGAGGTGACAACAAGGCGAAACTTGTGTCCAGAGATAGCAAGGTCCTACAGAGAATCCTCATGAGTAGAGACTGCGAAGAATGCAAGTAATATTAAGACTAAGCGAATATCTAAGTACATGATATGTTATATATATACTCTCTAAGTATGAGGCAGTGATAACTAGGACATAGCTAAAGGCTATGTACTTACTGTATAGTGAGTAAGTGGGAAACATAAGTCGGAGCAGATATCAATATGTACGCCTCAGATGAGTGATCGAGCGGTAAAAGGTATTACCGGTGATCCGGAGTAAGGGTCTATGTACCAACTGGGGAAAGTATATATCTAAACAGGGAAAGAGGTTCCAGTCAAATGGAGACATTATGAAAGGTGACCGGTCGGGTGGTCAAGCGGAAGCATAGGGTGGATGGTTGGAAGATGATTGGATGGAGCAGAGGACGGATGGATCAGGTATATGACAATTCCTCCCAAAGTACTCTGGAGTCAACTTCGTCACAAAGGGTATCTACAACTTCCTGTGAACGAAGCTCACCCTCACCACTGTCCAAATTTTCAGGATAAGTGAAACATCTGATGTATTGCTGTTAGTACAGCAGATACCAAATGCATAAATTAATTACCTACTTTGCGCAACAATTCTGAACTACACAACCAAGGACAAGTTGCTCAGGATAATTGGCAATATAGGGACCGAGACCATACACCACACGTCTAAAATGCCTGTCCCCGAATGGGACAACCTCAGGGACAGACATGGCAGGCTTGAGTGATGACAAAGTCCGGGACAGTGAAGAATGAAACAATTGTTTTGGAAATGCGGATCATCTGAATGTTTTTTGTCACTACAAGACTTTGTTAATATTGAGAAGTGCTGAGAAAGTAAATAAACACTTTTTGGAATAGCCAAAAAGCCGATAATGGCTACAGTGTTATGGTGAGCACAGCAGACATTATTATGAACATTCCTGATTGAGGCATACAGTGGATAGTAGTTGTTTTGTCCCATTGCCACCAAGACCATTGTTTTGTCACTTCTGAGTATTACTGGGACAAATGTTGAACCGTGCGTGGTTGGAACTTCGGCAATATCATCCTGATGAAGTGTCAGTGAAAGGAATAGTGTTCATAGCATTGAACTAACTGCTTGGTCTCAGGCCCAATCACCTGACATCACATTGCGCCATTGGCGAGTTGCACTTTCACCCTGCCTTTCCACTCATGAAATGGCACGTAATCCATCTCATTTTTGAAGTCAGGATTGCCCAACATGTTGTGGATGATAGTGCGCGGGTCACAGAACCATGTAGTGTATGTGGTGTCCATCCATGGTGTGATATTGGTAGCTGGATCAACATCTGCACCATATTTCATTGAAAAACTCTGCCACACAACATCTCCAATTGGTGTTTCATCAATAGTCAAATATAGGTCCCAATGGTCTGCAAAAGGAGGGGTATCTCCATGTCGCGCGAGACCAAGGCCCCACAAGTGCATCAATTTATCGATGTCGCCAGCAGACATCTGAACCTTCTTGTACAAAAACTCCACAGTTTCAAACTTCATTTGACTACAGTAAGGTGTCCAGTCACCTGGCTGTTTTGATGTCAAGGGAGGAGGTATGGTATCCGCAGGAACAAAATTACCTGCTGCATGATATATACGACCTGCTCAAAAGCCATTGTTAGAATGTATTGTTGTCATTGATAATAAAATTGAGCTACATACTGTCAAGTTCAAGGTGATAGTCGCGATAGACTTCATTCACGTCCCCACTGACATCCAGGGCCATGTTGTCACCTATGGTGTCATCACCATAGTCCATCGGGTAGGTGTCCCCATGGTGATCAGCTGCATGGAAGTTGACATTCGGAAGCAGCTGCTCTCCATTGTTTGAATTGAATTCTGCAGGGCATTTGTGTGCATTTGCAGGCAATTCAAATGAAAAACCATGCAGCGCGTGACGGTGCTGTGTGAGACCTGACCAATTCTTGAAATAGTGGTTGTAGCCAGTGTGCAGACAAGGTATTAAGTTGACATTGAAAGTCCTGCGCTTTCATCCAATTGGTGCAGAAGTCAGAATGGAGTGACTATAGGTCAAATTTAAGTGAATAATCAGGGAAACGAGCCAAAAATATGGAACAAGGAGACAAGAACACAGTGCACTTGAGGACTCGGGGCATGGGAGTGCTAGTAGCCAGCATCAAGTTCCAACTGGCATTAAAATGAGCTTAGGGTCGGTAAATAGCAAAGTACATAATGGTGTGCTCACACGTCGTATAGTAACAACACTCTAAAACAACCCTTCTTCACCACTTCTTTGCCCCGCCCCAAGAGTCCACTTGTCCTGCTCACCAGCTCTCTTCCTCACTCCTGCAGCTGACCATGGTCTCTACATGTGCATCCAATGCTTCAAAAAAGTTGCTCAGGTCATCATAGATGCACAGCAAAAAAGACGGACCTCAGCCCAGTGTCAAATACCTGATCCGACCCTGATCCGACCGCTCTGACAATATTGATATCTGCTCTGCCCGACACTACATCCCTTCTGCTTCTGTGCCATCCATCCTCTGCTCTGCCCAATCACCTTCTGACCAACCGCCCCTATGCTTCCGCTCGACCGTCTGACTGGTCACCTTCTGTAACGTCTCCATTCAACTGGAACCTCTTTCCCCTTTTAGGTATATACTTTCTCCATTGATACATAGACCCTTACTTCTGGATCACCGGTAAATCCTATTACCGCTTGATCACTCATCCAACGCATACATATTGATATCCACTCCGACACTTATGTTTTCTGCTTACTTACTGTACAGTCAGAACATAGCCTTTAGCTATGTACCAGTTATCACTGCCTCATACTTAGAAGTATATATATAACATATCCTGTACTTAGATATTTCCCCAGTCTTAATATTACTTGCATTCTCGCAGTCTCTACTTGTGAGGATTCTCTGTAGGACCTTGCTACCTCTGGACACAAGTTTCACCTTGTTGTCACCTCCGACCCTCCACTTCGACTTAGAGCCGCGCTCTAAGTCTTCTCTATTACTTCTCTGCCTCTACCAATAAACCCCCTCTGCCCCTATCCACCCTCCACATTATCCTCTGCCTTCTCTCGCTCCACTCCTAGTCGGCCCGCTGCTCGCAGCAGTTACTTCACGACCCTCAAAGTGGACCCAAGCGGTCCACCCATCCTATCGTTGGACAATGTTGGACCTGCTCCAAATTCAGGGCACGTACTTGGCTAAGGGCGCAGTGCAAGAGCTGAAGCCAAGCCCCGACCCCTCTGCTACTTGAGCAGCACAGTACCTAACACCCAGGTACAAGAGGACAACACTTGTCTCCAGAGAGAAAAGCAAGAGCAGGAGGCAAAGACCCACAAGGGCATTGCCAAGTTGCAGCTGTCCAGGATAAACTTGCCATCCAGGAGCAAAATGCGACTGCCATGAGAAAACATCAGGAAAAAGGTCGGACATGAGTTGCACACTGCAACAGTATATATCACTACATAGCCTTGGTAGTACAATAGTGCACCTATAGACCATCCATTGCACTAAATACCTCACTGTAGCACGCCGTGATGCCAATAGTAGCTATGTGGTCTTCCCAGTAACTCATAGTCAATATGGCATCCTATAGTTAATATTAATGGTATCATAGCTTCTAAGATACAAACAAACGGTCAAAACAATTCCAGATCAATGTACCTGTTGAGATAAAAGTCTTACACATCTGACTCTCGACCAACACGAGGAATAAGATGGCACGGGCGAAGAACTTGATGGACCGGTACCACCAGTGCGTTAGGACCACGCTGACATGAAGACTTGCTGAGGTGGAAGCTGTGCAAATTTTCATCAAAGTTTGAAGGGGTCAAAACTAGTGAATATAAGCCAGCGGGTGTGGAAAATTCCTGAGATGTAATGGAAGCTTGAAAACGACTTGTACTTCACCCACTTGCAGACCTAAGGTAGGTCAGAATGAGCCCACAACCAATTTACGATGCTCACCGGATATACCTTCACCGGTGTACTCATTCCCATCTTCAATCACCAACACACTGTTGAAGTGTGCAGGTGCTGGTGGCCTCCTCACGTCTGATGCAGGAATCACTGGTGATGCATGAACTTTGAACAAACACTTTCAGTTGTTGATATGGGGTCGTGCTGGAGAGAGAATCTTGAGGTACTTGTAAACATCCACCCGATCTTGCGGTGTGAGCTTTTGGCATGACCAGCTTGGAACATGTATCTGAAGGAATTCTTCAAGAGCAAGGGATGCATTGTGGTCGGTAAGTAAGCGCTGGATTGTTGAATTCGGAAACGGACATATCCTAGGGATGAAGTAGCCATGGGAACCTGTCACCATTGTGAACCATTGGACCTGAGAGGGTAAGTCAACATGGTTCTCAAATAGTCCAGGTCCTGCACCATCCAAATCCGAATCAGAGTGACTGGCATCTGAGTCTTGCCACTCTTGATTGACGGGGTGATGGGATACCCACCAGCGAATGTAGGCATCTTGAATGTGGATGGACTCTTGGCATCGTAGCCAGGTGGTCATTTGCATGACATAGTCGCGGTGATTTGATGCACAGTAGGCCCGTTTGGCAAAATCAATGTGCAGCCGTTCAAGCAGTTCAGTGTTGAAAACCGTCCGCAGTGCCAAGAAAGCGAATGGCATTGATGTAATGGATCATCGAGTGAATCTTCGGAATATTGAAGTGTTCACATACCTGATACTGTGCATAGTAAATGAAATCTAAGATGCCACACACTGCCGTCAGAACTTTGTTGTCAACTGTGCCAGCAATCACACCAAGAAAGACATGCTGCAACTCGCAATAATCTGCCCCCGTCCATTGTTTGCACTTGGATATGCCTTTTTTGAAGTGTCGGAGTCCTGAATATGATGTCATCTCCTTGAACCGTGTGTCAAGTTCTTCCTCGCCTATGATATTAGCGCACCAGCTGACAATGTGATCCTTAAAAACTCCTTTGTGCAGCTGATGTAGAATGTTGGGGGGTGATGCATGAGAAGATGTTGTTGTGAGGGAGCATCGCCCAGAATGGTGAGTAGATCACTTGTAGTCCCATCTCTCCTTCAAGCTGATCTTTTCCTATTTCACCATTGCAGTGCAAGTGCAGATTTTCAACCATGGAGTTTCAATCTCGCATTGGCAATTTCTTCATGTCCCCTCGCTCCTCTCGGCCCACTACACACTTCAGGCACCAGTTTTCCATGCAGCATGCCACCAGGCACTGCTCTGGAAAATCAGCGATGTACGCTGCCACAATAGGATACAGGCGTCGTACTTGATGATCTGGGCAGGTGACATCGACCCTTTCCGCACCTATGCTAACCAATGGCTCCAGGACCAGCGACATGCAATAGTGGAAGAGCCAATAACATTCAACAGACCTCGTGTCATGCATGAAGCATTCTAGCTTCAAAATTGGTAAGTATGTGATGAGGACTGTGGCGTGTTTGGATGGCTGACATTGGACATTTTTTGAGATGTTTCTGAGGCTCAGGTACACAGGCCAAACCTCCTGGTCTCCCTGGAACTGCGACAGTGAAGTCTTATTGGACGCTAGGATAACTGAAGCGACAACGGCCCCTTGGGGCAATCTTCCCTGTGGGAAAGGCTTTAGTGCGTTTTTTGCCAGATCAGCAGACACTGGCACTTAACTGCATCTCCCACCACCAGTCACCTGTCCACATCTCATCAAACCACCTGGTCTTGCCCTCCGCATCTGAAAACACCCTCTCTGGTGCATAGGACACCATGTGATCGAACTCTGGATTTCCCATGAGTTCGCGGATGCACTCTACCAGGTCCCACATCTACAACTCAAGATCCTCAGTCTTGTACTGCCGTTCATTGGTGAGTTTGTTGCCCTCTACACTTATTCTCTTCAACTGCCATTCTGTGCCACGGGGAAGCTGATCTATTGCCTTCATCAGACTGTACTTGCTTGTGAAAGACATTTTAAGGCAGCTCATCTGTGCATTGGTGAGTACATTGTGAATTGTGGCTGAAACACACTGACTTACAATTGGCAGTTTCATGAACTCATCTATTGCGTTTTGGCCCACCCGTGATACCAACCATTTGACAAGTCCCCATTCCTCTGCATCTGCAAATGGTGCCCATGGATCCAGACCTCAAGCCTCTTGTTGGGCTCTGATGTCATGGAACATCGCTTCAGCATGGCCCAGCAGTTTGCGCTACTTGCCCTGGGTATGACTGCATGAATCGCATCCACATCCTTTCCTCGTCGTCTACTTCCTCAACTTGGACACCGCAATGTTGATCTGGCATCGCGGATCTTAGCCCTTCCTGTATGCCATCCCCCTGGCCATCAAACTCCCAAGGTACGTCCCCGTCAATGTCCACCTCGTGGTCATTGTTGGGTGTGGCTTGTGTGGTCTCTTGTGAGGCTTGCTCGTGGTTGCACAGCCAGTCCATGTGTTCCTTACAGGCTCTAGTTCTGCTGATGTGAATGCCAACGGCTCCTGTAGTTTGGAAATTGCCTTTCAGGCAAAAATTGCAGCAGTGCTGCATGATGAACGAGCAGGAGGTTGACAAGCTGAAAAAGCCGACCTGTAAGTGACAGTTTCACCGAGTTTCACCGGGCTGACTTGTGCCATCTGTCCGACATCGGACATCAAAAGTTTTTTCCTCAAGATCAGCACCATCTCTCAAGATTGCAGGTTGCCCGTGCACCTGACCTCACGCATTCGTGTTGTTGATGCAGCGTGTCAATTGTTGATTGCAGCGCATCGACTGTTTATCGTGTAACTTCACAGATGGGACGTGACATTATAAAGGATGTGATGTTTTAACAAAGGTGTGCTCTGTCCCCATATTCTCCTCCTAATATTCTAACTCCCTATTCACACCCAGAATGTCTTCTACTGCTCCTACTCACCAAGCACTGAGTAATCTTATCAACCATACTGATTCTGGGCCCTCTCAGTGTCAATGACATGAACGCCGTCCTTCAGAGAAGGCCTTGTACCAAGGTATGTTTTTTTATGCACTACCACTATTATTACTAACTATATCATACATAGTTGAGGAGGACCAAGAGCGCCATGAGGCACAGCGCCGCCCAAGTGGTCAAGAAAAAATCAAGGCCACCTGTAAAAATCATGGCAACAGAGGTGTGTGTTGACTGTTGCATCAGTAGCCTGCTACTTAATCATGTCCAGGTACACAAGACGGCACACAGTTCTCATCACAGGCTATCACCCTGTCCAAAGGTTCAGCCAATGGTCCAGGTCCGCATTCCCAACTACATACAGATAGATCAAACAATAGATTTCAATTCCAAAGGATCCGCGTTCACAACTATACTATGTATTGACTGGTCAAACAATAAAAATTTTAATGTTCAAATACTGTAGAGACTTGGATATTACATTAGCTTTCGCTCATTTCACAATACAAGTATATTCATGGTGTTGGATTTAGTGAAAATTTCGTGCGCACAGCACTTGTAATTTCATTGTAAATCATAATCACAGAGTACTGTATACACACTTGTACATACTAATAGATGGAACTTAGTGAAATTTTGAGGTGCACTGGCGAATCTCGCTCGAAGCCTCATTCAACATCACGGACTTAGTGAGAAAAATCACATGATAAGTACACTTGCAAGCAATCTTGATCCTCACCATCAAATTGATGGGCTAGATGGGTCGAGAAGGGGGGGAATGGAAGTGAGAAGCTGGGAAGGGGTGTAAAGGAGTGTACTGAAGCTTCAGTGCAGAGATGCAAAGAAGCGGGGAAGGGGCATACCTGCCCAAAAAAGGTTAAACAAAGTGTCGTGGGAAAGCGTGAAGCTTCAGTGCAGAGACACAAGGCTTGATGCTTCATGAAGCATCAAGCTACAGATGTCAAGGAACTACACACATTGTGCATCAAGGCGTGTGTTTTATCACATACCTTGATGCTTAAATATGACACTATTGCCTGCTGGAAACATCTATGCGAATGTTGACAACGCTCACATCTCATTGTGGATTACATTTACCCGTGTCTTGGATTCAACGACTATGTGGCCAAGTTTTACCTTTTTCTCGGACACAGTACTCGCAGGTGATGGAATCAGGTGCGTTGTGCAGTTCTTCACCCGACGCACAGCTAGGTCACCACCTTGGACCAATGTGTTGCACACAAGACAGTCAGATTTCTTCTGTTCAGTCAGTATGGGGACAGTTTGTGATCCCGGGGTGACTAATATTTTGCAGGAGCCGCTGCCATGATACAATGGTAGATATTCACTAGACTTACCTGTACTTGGTTCCGTCCTTCGTCTCCGGTCAGTCAAAACAGTGTATGAATCATGCGAGCGCTATAATATTTCAGTGTCCTGGAACATTAATCTCTAAGTACTGTAATGTGATCGGAGCTGTGAGGGATATACAAATAAGATTCTATACAAACAACCGTGCACTCTATACCAGGTCTCCTGGAGTCTTCCGAGTTGCCGCCCAAGCTTTGGCTCTCTCCTTTACATCTAAGCTTTTGAGCCACATTGGCGACATTGTGCCTCCTTTTGCACGCTCCCAGCTGGTCATCCCACTGCATGCAATGGAAGTTCTTCTGATCTCTCCAAGGTGAGGAACATAGTGATCTTCAAGCTCTTTGACATGTGCGTCAACCCAAGAAGCAGTACCCGGAAGGAAATATAGGAATACACTGACTAAGGCTGCGGGTGGAAGTGAGATGCGTGTGTGGAGTGCATGCGAGCGAATAGAGACAGACATTGTCAAGGCAGAAATAGTGAGTGGTGATGCAATGGTCAGCATAAGAAGATATCACTCACAACTCCACTATTTCTTCGACAGAGGTCTACTAGTCTATTGTCATGAATTCCAAATACAAATCATTTTTCATTCCTTGGTTTCCCTTCGGCTATTTCTAGTAACTGAACCAGTCATGTGACTTCACTTCCTGTCACACCTTCACCTCTTCACATATCACCTGTTGCTTCTCCGATTGGCTCCCCTACTCCACGGGCTAGAATGATCTTGCTTTCGAAAGAAGAACCGGTTGGATCTTGGGTTTCTATTTAGTAACTGTCTTACTCATTCGCTTATATGTCATGATCAGTCATCCGCAGTATCGTACAACTCTTTTCTCATTGGCTGATTTCTTTCATACTCAGATATCTCCTATTCAATGTTATGTATATAAGTAGGTTAGTTAGCGTAAGTACTCCTTAGACTTAACCTCTTTGTTCTCTACAGTTGTAGTAGACGTAGACGTTCACGCTCAATCTATCTTGTTCCTATCATCATCTGTGACCAAGTCCTAGTGGTTGTTGTCTGACTTTACCATTCGGTGAACTCAGGTCATAACATTTATGGCACATCGGGCCTTTGAGTGGTAAAGCATTGATTTGTTGAGTTCCTTACTTATTTTGGTCTATCTTGTTATCTCGTACACCTTCATACCATATGACTCTCGTCTTCTCTTCTCTGCATGTTAATCCTCCGGACTCGTTACCTAATCGACTCTGCTGAGATTTGTACCGCACTTTGCCTCTTGACCACCTCAGTATTGTTCTTACAACTCTACTGAGGTGTGTACTGTGCCCGTTGTATTACGCCGTCTTGTATTGACTTGTGCACTAGCCTTTGTCTAGGTACAGAATAATAGTATTGTTCTTACCAGAGCCAGAATCGCGACCAGCATCCAACCTGATGTATGGTGATATAAAGGCATGGTTGTGATATGAGGACGTCGAGTGCATTTGTGGGATTGACTCAATCGATGGCGCTTCAGGAGGCATTGTGGACGAAGTGGTTGTTGGCAAGAAAAACCAAAGTTGAATCATTTGCTCCAGAGTGGTGGAGATTGTCTATCTTGCCGTTGACAGGACCTGTACGTAGACTCAGTAAACTGACTCAGGAGTAGTTTCGAAATACAAAGGATCGAAGAAGGAGATCATGGTGGTGGGAGCCGGAAAAGTACTACTTAGTTACAATTGTATTACTGAGGCATTTTTGCGGGGTGTGGGAATTTGGTGCCTTCAGTTCTTGGACTTCCTAAGTAGAGCTGATCACGAGCAAATTGATGGTCCTGCACTGGATTACCTAAGCATTGCCAAAAGCGGAGGAGGCATGTCTGGCAGAGGTGGTGGTTCGAAGGAGTCGCGTCTGGGACGAGCTGTGGACAGAAAATTCTGGGGACGGTCGGCGTAGGTAGAGCGGTCGAAAATGTAGTTTCGCTGAGCTTCCGAAGCATCTCCTGCGGTGCAATCGCGCAGCAGAGAGCTTGCACGACATTTCGCCACCGTGCGGAGTCTTGGTGAGCGTTGCCGAGCAGGATTCGAAAGGACTGCAAATTTCTCACCTGAGGACCGTCAATTTTCCAGTCCGAACGTGCTGATCCCACGTTATTCCCACATTTCAACCCACCTCTTGTTGGCACGTGATAGTGTTTGTACTGGCACAGATCTGGGTTTTACCCTGCGTGGTTCGTGTGCATTTCAAGTCACGTATATCTTCTGATTCCCTTTATCTCTCACACCATTTCCAGTGAGTTGTTCCCTGGCAGAGAGTAGTTATAAGACAACCCAGCCTTCCACTCCAGGTCGCACACGAAAGCTCATAGCGGAGTACAAGAGCAACATTTGGTGGGCACTTCACATTGGTGCTTTCATCGTGTAGTACTTGACGTGTGCGCTAATACCAAATGCCATGGTGTGCAAGTCAGCATCATGCACTGTGCTAACTTGACCATACCAGTCCACAGTCATGTGGGTTTCACCTTCAGGACTGAGCAGTCTCATCATTGAAAAAGGTGCCCTACACGTGTGTTATGATGATCTAATACATCGAGGGAGATTGTTGATTTATTAACTCGGAAGGAGCGGGATTTACTCAGACTCATTTTTCAGTAGGGTAAGAATCACCATCCTCTCCTGGTTGAGTACAATATCTCAAATGTGGGCATTTGAAACCTTGTTCTTGGACCACCTCCACGAAAGGGAGGTAAGTTGAAATCTGCATGTCCGATTCAAGAGCTGTTGTCATAGGTCACCACACCCTGGCAGGTGTATCAATACTTACTGGCCATAGTAACAAGCCATGAATGCATACTTTTCAGTGATAGCCAGTAGCTTCTTGTATCAATACTCTCCCTGCAGTATTGCCCCCTGGTGCCCTGTATTAATACACTCCCTGTAGTACTAGCCCTTAGCTTCTGTATCAATACTCTCCTGGGCACTTGTCCCCAGTGTACCCTGTGACATGTGCTGACTAAGATTGTTGAAGATTGCTGTATGCTTCCAATCAGATCTGTTAGATCTCTGGTAGATCACCTTCTGTCCATCCCTTCTTGACCCCTGACAACTGCACATTCGTCCACAATATCTTGTTGGCTTCCAAAAGAGGAAATTCACAATAAACATCCCATTTTGGTCTCCCCACATTATTCCCACACATCACATGTTCGCATTTTCCAGCCACACAGTGTGGGGATTACCCCACAACACCAAAAACATCGCCCATTTTGGGAATCTCCACAATATCAATTATTCCCACATCCTCCCCACCTCACTGCAGCTTCACCACCACACCACAATAAGCCCCCCCTCATATATAAGTAGCAGTTTGATATATATACATATATTATAATATAATAGTCCGCTTTTTCGCTTATTTGTGTGCCTGCTCCTCCTCCAGGGCCCTTTCAAAATAGCCTAGGGTACAGAACACTTTCGCACTTTTGCCCTTTTGATATGGAAATGTTCTAGAGTATTTAGAACATATTTAGGAGTGTATATGCAGAGATTGCTCCACTTTTTTGATCCCCTGAAGCGTCCTACATCAATAGATATAGCATATATATAGGAGAATAAAGAATATGTTCCCATGTACTTATTTCTAGATGGATATACATAGAAAATTATCCCCAGCATCTATTCAACAGTAGGAACAATGTATCAGGAGACCAGGACCATAGTACAAGACCCTGTGATGCAGTATACATACCCTCTCCTGATGGTTTACCCCCTGTGAAAATTTTTGCTGTAGGACCGGACCTCAAGGATTGCAGGGGATCTATTCTTATGCACATTTAGAAGATATGTATCACCTAGATACTCCAGGATATCTACAGAGTCCTTCTACAGGAGCATAAACATAGAAACTCGCACTTTTGACATTTTTGATGTTTTTCAGTATCTTACCCTTGCATACATAGTCCACCCTGCTCATATATCATCAGTGGCATGTATATAAATGCATTTATGCCCAGGATCAGCTCAAAATAGGCCAGGGATTTGAGTTAGTGTATATACTTGTTATTTCTACTGATAAGGGGCCCATACCTTCAAAGCATCGATGTTTATTAATCGGACACCTGGGATGCCTCTAATATATATCACTAATTATAGCTTTAACGCTTTAGAAAGATCCATCAAGGATTGAGTGAATTACAAGCAAAATAACATATATGTGAAAAGTGACAATTGACATCTGTTCACACAAAGTGACATTTATATATGATACAGGTCGAAGATTTCATTAAAAATGTGTAGGATACATGATAGACTACCTAAGGAACCTATACTACATACTGCCCTGAGGGCAGAGTGTTGATAGGGGGGATGTGGTGTAGAAGTGTTTGAATTGGTGGCCCATAGCAAAGTATACACCAACTAATCATTTTCGATGTTTTGAACTTCGGGACATTTAAAGTTTCCCACACTTGATTTCTTATCTATTTCACTTCCCCAGCTCTTGATTCTGGGTGGATCTTTCTGTATTTTTGAGTCCATGATACGGAATATATGTGAAATGTACTCCAGGTGTCTGATTATTAAATTTCGATGTTTCAAAAGTATGGGCCCCTTATCAGTAGAAATAGCAAGTATACACACTAGCTGCAATTTACGCGAGTCAGCGCATGGTAGCTTGATGGCACTGTTGAAAGTGGCAAACATCACCATTCGAAGTCAGCACGTTGAGGCTGCAGGCCTGCTCTAGTAAGAATAGTTACCACAATCGCAAAGACAGCCCCTAGCCTCAACATCGGACAATCACATCCGATATGTGAGAGAAGCGAGAGCGGTAAATCGGTGATGATCTAATCTGTGGCGCAGATTCGGAAAGGAGGAAGTCTGCGCACATGGAGAAGGCACTGCCGCTCCGCGCGCAGAAGCGAGGAAGGGGAAGAGTCTTCTTCAGTAGCACATAGACCTTCGGATAAGGATAGCGCTTGACAGGTTCCTGAAGTCCAGTATGCAGTCTAAAGTTGACGGCGTCTTCTTCATGCTATGGTGAGACATGGCCTGAGCTCATGATGCGGAGCACATACCTGATTCGCGCGAGAAAAACATGTTCGAGAATACAAGTAGCACTAGTGCGCCCCTTGCTTGACGATCGAGTCATTGAGGTATCGATACTGGCAAATGGTTGTCAAGCGGGGGACGTTTGCAGAGATACGGGAACTGCTTGCTGAGATAATTTGCGAGACACATGCTAGAG